AAATTCAGTTTTCTTGAACAGTTTATTAAACAATAAATAATTGCAGAATGTCACACTGTTTTGAATAGTTTATTAGTTACAGGAGCTCAATAGGTCTTATAAGTATCAATATATCTTAAAGAACAAGAACTGGGTATTCTGTATCACTGCTTTAGATTCCAGACACTTTTTGAATTAAAGGATTTTCACCATCTTTTATTAGTTTAATTTTTTTATAATGTATTTTAAAATAAATTTATTTATTTATTTTGTTTTTGGCTGCGTTGGGTCTTTGTTGCTGTGTGTGGGCTTTCTCTAGTTACGGCATGCGGGCTTCAGTAGTTGCGGCACGTGGGCTCTAGAGTGCAGGCTTAGCAGTTGTGGTGCACGGGCTTAGTTGCTCCGCGGCATGTGGGATCTTCCCGGACCAGGGCTTGAACCCGTGTCTCCTGCATTGGCAGATGGACTCTTAACCACTGCGCCACCAGGGAAGCCCTTTTAATTTAATTTAATTTTGTTTTGGCTGTGCTGGGTCTTCGTTGCTGCCTGCGGGCTTTCTCTAGATGTGGCTAGTGGGGGCTACTCTTCGTTGCGGTGCACGGGCTTCTCATTGCAGTGGCTTCTCTTCTTGCGGAGCACGGGCTCTAGGCACGCGGGCTTCAGTAGTTGTGGCACGTGAGCTCAGTAGTTGTGGCTCACGTGCTCTAGAGCGCAGGCTCAGTAGTTGCGGCACATGGGCCTAGTTGCCCTGCAGCATGTGGGATCTTCCCAGACCACTGCTCGAACCCATGTCCCCTGCATTGGCAGGCAGATTCTTAACCACTGGACCACCAGGGAAGTCCAAGAATTTTCACCATCTTGGGCTTCTTTGTGTGCTAACAGTATTCTAAAATTATTGGGAGCTGACACTGTGGGCAGTATTTCACATCTGTATTGCTAAATTTTACTAGCAGTCTTTCCTATGTGTCGATGAACTGTTCTGTTATTTTGCTCCCATCTGCCAAGTAGTTATTTTCATTTTTTTCTCCCCCTTTATCCTTGCCTTCTGCAGTCTCTGGTATTTTATGTCATGTAATGTATACTTCCTTATTTTGGTAAGATTAGAAAAAAGGTATTTCAGTCTAGAGTAAATATCCTGTCCCTTCCCATCTCTTCTTTCTTGTTCCTGTTCATCCTTGAAGATTCACCTTCTCTGAGAAGTCATCCCTGGACACCCCCATTGGGATCAGGTGTCTTCTCTCTTCCCACTGCGACCGATCTGTACAAATGATCAAGGACGTGCCACACGACAGATCTAGAGTTACTCATATTCCTTGACCTGAAGGAACTTCGAGTTGAGACGGGGAGGTAGACATTTAGACAGAAAAATGCAATATGATCGAACCTTTTTTAAAAATCTAATGTGTGAGTGTTTATCATGGAGCAGGCATTGTGCTAAGCATTTTATGTGCATTATTTCATGTTCTGTCAATAACCTTATGATCCCGATTTTACAGAGAAGGAGAGGGATTTAGAGACTGTCCTTGCTTTGCCTGAGGTCAGTTAAGTCACAGAATTGCTACCGAAATCCAGGTCCAGAGCCCAAGCTCGTAGCCACTCTGCCTCTTGTACTGACTTCTGCCTCTGCACAGATGTGTCCCCTGGGCCCTCGCACGCTAGGCACAGGGAGAGGACAGCCCCAGTGCTGGAGTTCAGAAACTGATAGTTACTCTACCGTCATACAGCCACTGTAACTGACTCCAAATTATCCCTCAGAGACTTCAAAAGAATTCAAGGTATAGCACATTGTATGTCCAAACGCATTCATCACAAAAGATTAAAAACAACCTGTTTGTCAACACAAGATTAAATACATTATGATATATTCATATAATGAAATGATGCAGCTGTAATAACGAATGAGGAAATGCTATATGGATATGGAACAATGTAAAGGGTATGATATTATATGGAATAAATAAGGTTTAAAAGAGATGCTGCTTTGTATAGAATCAATAGCATGCTGCTGTGTGTGGTTGCAGAGGCAGGGAATGTGTAAATTTTGCTTGTATATGCATAAAATATCTTTGGAAGAATAGATAACAAATCGATGGTATGGGTTGATTCTGAAGAATGGATAAGGGATTCCAGGTAGAGAGAAATAATAAGCACCTTTCTAGAAATGAAAACAAATAAGAAAGGCACTCTGGGCTGGTGTGTTTCCAGAGCATGAGGGGTGAGCCTGCCTGGCTCCTCGCTGCGTCCCCTTGTGCACTTGAGTGATTGTACAATTGACAAACTAAGTTGAAAAAAAAAAAATCTCAAATTCCTGTATGGGAAGAGCATAACATCTCTTCTGTGGTATTAATTCCTGTTGAAAATACATGTCCTGAATCTAACCATGAAGAGACGTCAGACAAACTCAAATTGAGGGACCTTCTGAAAAACAAATGGCCTCTGCATTTCCAAAATGTCAAGGTCGTGGAGAACTAGGAAAGACTGGGGACTGTTCCCAATCAGAGGGGACAGACGGGACGTGTCCGCGGGACGCACCGTGTGCGATGCCAGATTGGATCCTGGGCCAGAAAAAAGGGGTTTCCTTCTCTGCAAAGGACGGTAATCAGACAATTGGCAGAAGTTGAATGTGGTCTGTAAATTAGGTAATAGTACTGTTTTCATGTTAACGTCCTGATTGTGATAGTACTGTGGTTACGTGAGAAAATGTCCTGTTTTTAGGAAACAGACACTTAAGAATTTAGTAGTAAAGGGGCTTTGTGTCTGCAGTTTACTCTCAAATAGTTCAAGTTAAAAAAACAAAAGAGAGAGAGGGAGAGAGAAGGAGAGAGAATAATAACGTAAGCATGGTAAAATGTTACCATTTGGGGAACCTGAGTGAAGAAGTACAGGAATTCTTTGTACTATTTATGCTGCTTTTCTGTCTGAAATTATTAAAAAATAAAAAAATTTTTAAAAACACTTCTGATGTGGAACATTTTATGATTTTGTAATACTGAGCCTTTTATGTCCTTTTGTACAATTTTGTGATTTTCTTCCTATAGATCTTTATATTGTTGGTGACATTTATTCCTAAGTTTCTTAATATTTTTATTCCTTTTTTAAAAAATATAAGTTTTGTTGAGGTATAATTCACATACTGTGCAACTCACTCTGACCACCTTTTTACTATGCTTAGATAGTACCATTATATAAGGAAGGCATGCTTTTTTTTTTTTAAAGACAACTTTATAGGGTATAATTTACACATGATGAAATGCACATATTTTAATTGAATAGGTTGATGACTTTTGACACATGAATTCCCCACATAACCACCCCCCAGTCTAGATGCAGGATAGAGAACATTTCCATTTCTCCAGAGAGTGTGCCCCCAGCCCCTTTGCTTATATAGTCACCTGTTGGCGACACGGGCATCTTTTCCAGGACCCTCCGGTGTGTGCAGGGCGAGCGTGTGTGTGGTGGGGTGCCTTCGGGCGGGGGTAAGGATGGTAGCGTTGCAGCCAAGCAGGAGCAGTTTCCTCAGTGGCTCCGAAGAGGCTCTCAGGCTGTTTGGACGTGGCTTTCCTGTATCCCAGACTTAGGCCCTGACGTTGGGTGCTCCAGTTTCTTTTTTTTCTTCTATAGGCCTTATTCTGGTTCAGAGGTTGGAGCATGTGTAGCCTAAGAATGTTTCTCAGCTTATTTCCATTAACAATGGAGAAAATTCTGGCTGGGTTCTGGGTAGTGGTCTTTTTTTTTTTTTTTTAAGAGATGTGCAATTTATTTATTTTTTAAATTTTTTGGCCACACCCCGAGACACTGGGGATCTTAGTTCCCTGACCAGGGATCGAACCCACGCCCCCTGCATTGAAAGGCAGAGCCTTAACCACGGGACCACCAGCGCAATCCCTGGGCAGTGGTCTTTCTGACCTTTAGTTGAATGGTGTTCTGAGCAGTTTGGCCTTTCCTGTCCTGCTATTTAATGGGCTGGTGGGAGGAGGTGTATCAGGCCTGGCTGCCCTGATAAAGAGCAGATCTCATGTGACCTTTAAAATGTCGTGTTTTATCATCATCAGAAGGGAAGATTGATTAAAACATCTATTTTGGAAAATAATAATGTTTCAAGGTGTAAATTTTGTGCGCATTGATGTTTAGTTGATGTTTGATTGCTCACTCATCACCCCTGTATGGACCCAATGGGAAACAGAGTTTATATTTGTATTCACCAAATTGTGGCCCAGAAAATTCAGCTCCCTCTGCCTGCCAGTTCTTCCTCGTTTTGTGACTTTTATTATTCTGCTGTTCATTCTGAGTTGGTGGTATAGGAAGTCAGTGTCTAAACAAGTGTGCAGGGACTTCCCTGGTGGTCCAGTGGGAAAGAATCGGCTTCCAAAGCAGAGGACTTGGGTTCGATCCCTGGTTGGGGAACTAAGATCCCACATGCCTTGGGGCAACTAGGCCTGCACGCCACAACTACTGAGCTCTCGCGCCTCAACAAGAGAGCCTGAGTGCCGCAAACTACAGAGCCCACGCACCACAACTAGAGAAGAGAAAACCCGCCCTCCACAGCTAGAGAGAAGCCTGAGTGCCGCAAGAAAGAGCCTGTGTGCCACAACGAAAAGATCCTGCATGGCTCAGGGAAGATCCCGTGTGCCTGCAACTGAGATCTGACACAACCTAAATAAATAAAATATTTTAAACAAGTGTGCAAGGGAGGGACGAGCTGGCCGAGCAGCAGCGAGTCTTGGTGTGAACCCAGCACTTCCCTGCATTTAGCATCTGGGGGCCTCATCCTTCTCAGGAGAGCTAAGAGGACTGCCGTCAGCATTTGTGATGAAGGTTCCATCCACCTAACTGTGCCCAGAGCAGAGCAAGTATGCAATACATTGCATCATTATTCCAAATAATTTCTTCATTTTTACCTTTTTGCCCAGGTGTGTAATCTTTCACAAAGCTTTTTTCCCCCCTTTTTGTGGTTGAAACTGTAATTTATTAAAATGCATTCATTTAGTTAAAGTCTTGGGTCCTTTTCTCTCTTTTTTCAGGCACGTTGCAGAGAGACCTTTTTGTCCTTGATGAACACTCACGTGGTAGGCAGATGACTGTCCTTCACCCCGAGCTGCTCTAGGTGCCCAGGACGCTGTCCAGCAAAGAAAGGATGGATTCCAAAGATGAAAGCTCACACGTGTGGCCTCCGGCTGCAGAGCATGAGGAGAATGCCGCACAGGTGAAGAGTGGTCTTCCAGCTGGGCATTGACAGCAGTTTTTTAGTTGGTACAGTTTGCTGACAGCTAGAGAAATAGAAGCTCCTATGCAGTGATGAGTGGTTGGTAGGAAGCTGACTTGCAGAACTGGTGCAGAAGGAACGGGCAGCGTTTCAGCACCTTGGACGCTCCAGCAACGTGGGGTGCTGTGATTTTGCGGAGCTACATACCACTCATGGCTTCTCTGCTTTTCCCCTGTTTTATTGTCATAATCCACTTCACTGCTCCGTTTTATTACATGGTATTGGTGCTGAAAGCTTCAAACTGGAGGTTTTCTTTGTTATCCCGGAAAGGGTTTTGTTTCTTCATGTGTAATGAAGTACAAAGGTATGCCTGTAAAGTGAGGGACTTTTCCTTTTCTTCTCAAATTCAGGATGTAAACCTCTAATTGAAAGTTGTCCCATTGCATCCACAGCTCTGGAGGTTAGTCGCTTATTCAGACGCTGCTGTAACCAGTGATCTCTGCCTTTCAAATTGCTACCCTAACCAGCTACACGTTCTTTTGACTGTTCTTAGCAAAGGCGAACCTCTGCATTTTTGGTATGCGTTTGAATTTTGAGAAGAGTCAGCACTCATAGGGAGCCATGTTTACATGTGACCAAAGTATAACACTTCATTTTAAAGCATTATAATATATATGTAATTTTAATTTAATTTTCGTCAAGTTATATAACCATAGTATTATTACCCAAATCAGAAAATTAACATTGAAACCTTTAAATATACACATCTTATTTAATTTAAGCAATATAACAAATTTACAATACATAAAATTGATCACCTGGTATGATTTGAAAGTCTGAGTTTGAATACTGAGCAAAACAGTTCCAGAGATGCTTCCAGCAGAATAGTTGAGAATGCTGTTTTGGTTCATATGGAAACTATTTGGAAGGCTGCTTTCATGTAGCTATATATTTTGGTGTATTTTGTTTATAAACAAAAATGTAGTTCATTAATAAATAGGGTCCACATTTGTGGGTAACCAGATGGTAGACGGCAGAGCTCAGCACCCTTTATTGCCCCCCTCCTCCCACTGTTCCTTCTCCCGACCAGGAATTCTGATTTAGCCCAGTACTGGGTGTTGAAGACCAAGTTGAAGAGTTTGGATAACTCTTAAGGAAATTTTATTTTTTCTTTTTTAAGCATTGAAACTAGTTCAAGATTTTGATGTCAATGAGCAAATCTAAACTCACAAAATTATTTTGCAGCACTTAAAACTGCGCAAATATCTTAGAAGCCTAATTCTTGTAGGGATGCAAACTGTATCTTCATGGGCAAAGCAGATTTATGTAGAAGCTGGACTAAGCGCTTAGTATAGAAGTGGAGGTTTGTTTTACTTATGTGGTGCTTGACTTCACTGGGTCTCCATTTTTCTTTCTGGGGATTGAATTAGCTTATGTCATTTTCAGGATCTACTATTCTCCACTGGAAAAAAACTGAAATAAAAAAGTGAGGTCTAAAGCCAAGACAGTGTAAGAGGAAGGAATCGGACCTAAGAGGGTCTAACTTCAATATCAGCCCATAAACTATTTCTCTCCCAAATGTGTTCTTTGACCATCTGCTTTGTACCTTCAATATCAGATACTAGGCTGTATGCCAGCCTTCAAGAACCTCCAAAGCTGACTACTCGAAAGCACTTTACAGAATCCAGTTTCTGCTTTAGTTCTTGGTAGATAGAAAATTATTTCCCCTGGTGACAACTGAAATAGTTGTCCAAAACCCCTTAAAATACTCACTTAGAATTTTTTGTATTGTTACCTAGTTGGCAAGGGAGAGTTCTGTTACATTCACCGAGTCAGCAAACGTTTACCGACTCGCCTCCAGACCGGCCCTGGAGTATGAAAGAATTTGTAGGAAAGAAAGTGACCTTGTTTTAACGTGTTTGCCAAAAGGCACTGTTAGTTATAAAGTAGAATTCTTATGATGTGTTGAAAGCAACTGGTTTTTGAATCTTGACATTTTTTTTCACATTACAAATAATTTGTATTTTGTAGTTCGGTAATGTTGTCAACCATGCGTCTTCTGTCACATTTCCAGGGTCAGTGAACCACCCTGTCAGTACTCCCCGAAAGAGATACCTGCATTGGACATTTGAGGCAAAGGGAACTTTAAATCGGTTGCCTAATATTGAGCAATAAGTCAGTGACAAGGTCCTTGGATCCTGTTGCCAAGTCACTAACTCAGCATAGATGAAGGCGTATCAGTTGAGTTCTCCTTTCAGTGGGGATCTTTTAGAAATGCAAGTGTGTAATGTTCTCGGTCAGTCCTGCGTCTTTGTGAGACAGGTTTTGTTCCACAAGGGTGGTTGCTACATACTTGCCGGTTATTTATTTATTTATTTATTTTTGCCCCAGGTGCATTTTGTTCCAGACGCTGGAACTGTGGCCCAGATTGTCTACACCGATGACCAGGTCCGTCCACCACAGCAGGTGGTGTACACGGCAGATGGTGCCTCTTACGCGTCAGTGGATGGTCCGGAGCACACGCTGGTCTACATCCATCCCGTGGAAGCTGCGCAGGCATGTGAAGGACTGTGGTTTATAGTTTGTTAATCAGTTAATTCACCAATTACTTAGGTTTACTCTCTGCCAGTCACTGTGCTATTTGCTGGTGATACAGGAATTATTCATATAAGATTTATGCTCTCAAGGAGCTTATAACCAACTGGGCAGAGGAAGATATGGTTTATTTATTTAAATTAAATGTAATAAGGAGTTAGAGCACTAACCTCGAATGAGTTCTTTCCCCAACTGACTATTGATATTGATTTTTTTTTTTTTTTGCATTACGCAGGCCTCTCACTCTTGTGGCCTCTCCCGTTGCGGAGCACAGGCTCCGGATGCGCAGGCTCAGAGGCCATGGCTCGTGGGCCCAGCCGCTCCGCGGCATGTGGGATCTTCCCGGACCGGGGCACGAACCCGTGTCCCCTGCATCGGCAGGTGGATTCTCAACCACTGTGCCACCATGGAAGCCCGATATTGATTTTTTTTTAAATTATAAATTTATTTATTTTTGGCTGTGTTGGGTCTTCATTGCTAAGCCCGGGCTTTCTCTGGTTGAAGCCAGCAAGGGCTACTCTGTGTTGTGGTGCGTGGGCTTCTCATTGCAGTGGCTTCTCTTGCTGTAGAGCATGGGCTCTAGGTGCTTGGGCTTCAGTAGTTGTGGCTCGTGGGCTCTAGAGCGAAGGCTCAGTAGTTGTGGTGCACGGGCTTCGTTGCTCTGTGGCATGTGGGATCTTCCTGGACCAGGGCTCGAACCTGTGTCCCCTGCATTGGCAGGTGGATTCTTAACCATTGTGCCACTAGCGAAGTTCCTGATTGATTTTATTAACAAGATTATCAGCTTTTACTTTTCCTAAGGTATCAACAACCAGGCCAAACATGGTAACTTAATCAAGACAGATCAGTGAAAACATGCAGATTTTTTCAGTTAAACGAGGGCTCCTACTAGCTTATTAACTGCTATTTACTAATAACTTACTGATGTGTAGACCTGTAATAGAAGCACAGGTAAAAACTGTACGATTACAGCTACTTTCATTTTTTTGCCAGTGACTCTGAATTTTAGTTTCCAAATGCATGACACGAATATTCCCCAATATATAAATGTTAGTTTGTATGGGACTTCCCTCGTGGTCCAGTGGGTAAGACTCCACGCTCTCAATGCAGGGGGCCCAGGTTTGATCCCTGGTCAGGGAACTAGGTCCCGCACGCATGCTGCAACTAAGAGTCTGCATGCTGCAACTAAAAAGATCCTGTGTGCCACAACTAAGACCTGGCGCAGCCAAAATAAATAAATATTAAAAAAAATGTGAGTTTGTATTGTCAGCACTTTACAGTGTACAAAGCACTTTTAAACACATTAAAAGAGAAATCAGTTCCATGGTTTATAGTAGGATCCCGGTAATAAAAATTTGCCCTCATGCAATATTTAATCAAGAGACTCAAATCACTCCCAAGAAGACATGGGACCCACCTAATAAATACCTTTCAAATCTACATAAAGATGAACTTGCCTAATAGTCAGATGGTACTTTTGGAATGTCCTTTCTTAGTTTTAGTCCCCTAGCTGTATTAAAATAAGTGCATGTAGATTATGTGAAGAATGTCCTGTGACCAACTTTTGGTTCATTACTGTGTTACTAAATGTCTGAATTATGATAATTTTTTTTATTGTCAAATATAAGAAATCTGACACTGGCTGAAATTCTCTTTTACAGTTCTCTGGAATCAACACTTAACCTTAGTTCTTATGCCCATAGGTTTGCTAAAGCCTCGCGCAAATTAAAGTCTCTCAGAAAGAATACTTCTCTGGACTGGAGATTTTCTGTGGTACCCTGGCTAAAATCATTTTGAAGATTTTCCTTCTCCATTTATCTTTGCTGCACCATGGCCCAAATTATGTGTTTATAATCAGAACTTTTAAAATTATGATTTTACTGGCTTTTATCCAAAACAGAATCTGTGGAACATTAAATTCAATTTATTTTCCTTCTACTTCTCTTGTGATAATGAGTGTGCATTTATATTTGAAAGAGCTGTAATCCTTGGGAATACAGTACTCTTCTGTTTGCCGGTACATCTCCAACTATTTTCATTTAATTGCAAGTCTGCTCCTGTGATAGAGTGTTACGTGTTGCGTGCATGCCCCCCTGTTCATGGCATGCCTTTTTAATCAAGTGTGACATTCAGTCTCAGGAGACGCTTTGCTTTAGAGTAAAGCTCCTGAAGTGTGAAGTACGTTAGCCAATAGAGATGGCTAGCTTTCACAGTCTCTTTGGAGCCATCTGGATGAAAGGCTTTAGCAAAACGTAAGAGTACTATCTTTATCTTCTTTGTTAACGAAAGATTATTACTAGCTGTTTGGTAGTTAACTCTCTCAAGAATTGGTGCTTAGCAGTAGTATAATTTTTCCTGTGTAGATGAGCTGTCTAACGATCTATTGATAAGTTTTTGTTGTTGTTTGTTTAGACGCTGTTTACAGACCCAGGCCAGGTAGCTTATGTCCAACAGGATGCTACAGCTCAGCAGGTAATGAGTTGCTTTTTTGCCTTTTTGTTGATTGTGGGTAATACTGAAGTTACCCTTCCCTGGAATGCCCCCCAACCCTCTGTACTGTGCATTCTCTGGATGTCTATTTCTCATGCGTTTAGAATATTCTCAATGTCCATTAATGAAAACAAAGCAGGACATGACACTAACACACTCCAACCAGTATACATTGCAATAGCGTGGTAATGAAAAAATGATTTGTCAGGGAAATTGAAGCATTAAATTAAAATAAGCATATCAACTGGATATTGGTTCAAGTTCCAAAGAGTAATCCTGAGTTTCAAAAGTGTCTATGGAAATAGGGAAACATTTTAGTACTTGGTATTTTTTTTACATTATTGAATTATAGTTGATATACAATGTTGTGTTAGTTTCTGGTATACAGCAAAGTGATTCAGTTATATATATATAATATATATATTCTTTTTTCATATTCTTTTCCATTATGGTTTATTACAGGATATTGAATATAGTTCCTCGTGCTATACAGTAGGACCTTGTTGTTTATCTATTTTATATATAGTAGTTTGTATCTGCTAATCCCAAACTTCAAATTTATCTCTCCCCCTCCTTTCCCCTTTGGTAACCATAAGTTTGGTGTCTATGTTTGTGTATCTGTTTCTGTTTTGTAAATAAATTCATTTGTATCATATTTTAGATTCCACATACAAGTGATATCATATGATATTTGTCTTTCTCTTTCTGACTTACTTAGTATGACAATCTATTTTTAAATATTAGGGAAAAATTCCTGCTTAAATTACATATATATTTAGCGGCAACCTTCCTCATTCTACTTTCAGAGAATTGAGATTCTTCTTGGTTTTCTTTTAAAACATTTCTTTCCTTTTATCTATATTTCTAATATATCCTACTTGACTTTGAGGGACTTCTTCGTTATTTTCCTCCAGGTTGCAAAAGTGATAAGGCAGGTGCAGAAACTAGATATTGTCAGTCTTACCCTCAAGGGAATGTGAATCCAAATAGTTTTATTTTCATGTTGGCTAGTATGACTGTTATTTAGCTATACCACTGAGTGTCATGAGTAATTATCAAGTAAATTCTCATTAGTAAGCACTTTCTGCTTTTAAAATTTTTTAGTAGGTGATTTGGAAACTTGCATTTTAAAATTTGGAAAATGAACAGTAATTGTGTTGATATTATTTATGAAATCTAGCGAGAATTAGGAGTCTTCATCGTAGCAGTTATGGTTGAATTTATTCCTGACTGGTAGTGACCTACAATTTTGTGGGTCTGCCATCTTGAATGAGAACTTGTCTTAGTTCATCTGGGCCGCTATAACAGAATGCCATACATGGGGTGGCTTACAAACAACAGAAACTTATTTCTCACAGGTCTGGAGGCTGGGAAGTCCAAGACCAAAGTGCCAATAGATTTGTTGTCTGGTGAGAGCCCTCTTCCTGTTCACAGATGGCTGTGCCCTCACATGGCAGAAGGGGTGAGGCTGCTCTCTGGAGTCTTGTATAAGGGCACTAATCCCATTCATGGGGGCTCTACCCTCATGACCTAATCACCTCTCAGAGGCCCCACCTCCTAACACCGTCACAATGGGGATTAGGTTTTGACATATGTATAAACTTTGGGGAGACACAAATGTTCTGTTGCAGAGTTACTATTTTATTTTAGTAATTTTGTACTAATTAAGTTTACTCTTGATAAAACAAATCATGTCCATTTCTGTGAATATTTATTGATTCCACCAAGCAAGCAATGGATAGATTTAATTCATTTTTACAACTTGGAAGGAAAAAAATAAAATGAAATGCCTTTGTGTTTCATAGATGATTAATTCATTCACTAATATTTGGAGTAATGATTTTTTTTTTTCATAAAAAGTTGAAGCAATACAAAATAAAAGAGAAGTACATTAAAAAACCCAAACAAACAAATTCTGTCCAGGAACATCCTCATTAATTTACAATTGGTAACTATTATTCTAGACTTCCTCCCAGACATAAAACAGACAAAGATAAACAAGCAGGGGAAAATTGTGCCCTAAATGCTATTATTAATCTAAATGCTTTAAACTTAAATTTACTTGAGTGTAATAGAAGGAAAGCAAATGGAGATGAACCGGAAAGAGGTTGGAGTCCTCACGGTTTCCTAACCGGCCTTGGGCTCCGGTCCCCTGTGTCCTCAGCTCTTGCTGTGATGACCTGACATCAGCACACTGACACTTCCTCCCCCTCCTCTCCTCCCCCAGTGTTTGGTGTTAGTTGCATTATTATTGTAACTAATGTATTTATGTTCTGTTCAGTAACCACAGCTACTTAGAATTTTGCTCCATTATCTCCTGGCATTTAATTTATACAAATCTTGAGTCTAATTTTGATTATTTTCCTCATTCCTTTTCTATCTTAATGGCTGTTTGAGTGTTTCTTTATCCTTGAAGTTTTTCTTTGAAGTCTAATGACTTCACCAGCATTTGAATCAGAATTCCCTAGGACAGGGTGTGTCCTTTTCATGTATAGGTTAAGACTGTGTTTCGGGAACATTTTCATCTATTAGGTTTTTGAAGATCTATTCAGTTTCATTTGATATGTTCACTTTTCCAGGAATATCAGTGTGAGTATATTGATTCTGCTTTCTATATCTAACATTCTCTCTGTGCTCATTTTTATATCTATTCTTTTCCACGTTATTTGTGTAATTTGCTTTATGTCCCCCATATTTCCTTACTGTTTTTTAAACTTTTTAATTAAATTATAACATACATATGGAAAAGTGCAAAAACTTATAAGCAATAATGCAATGATATACCACGAAGTGAACACACTCTGTAACCAACACCCAGATTAAATAATAGAACATTACCATCTCCTAAAAGCCATCCTCACGCTCTCTCCTAATCACTTCTCCTTCCCTTCTCCTCAAAGGTCACACTCTCCTGCCTGCTGACACTGTAGACTGGTTTTCCATGGTTTTGAACTTTATATGAACAGAATACCTTAGTATGGTTTCCTTTTTGTCTTTTTTTTTTTTTTTTTAAATTTTTATTTTGGCCTTGCCACTCAGCTTGTGGGATCTCAGTTTCCCCATCAGGGACTGAACCCAGGCCACGGCAGTGAAAGCGCGAAATCCTAACCACTAGACCAGCAGGGAACTCCCCTTTTTGTCTTGTTCTTTGGTTTAACATTCTGCGTGGGAGAGTCACATTGTTCATGTTGTTGGGTGCCCCCGCGGTTTCCTTCCCTTCTATTTTTATCGCTATATCGTGTTCAGTTTTATGAAAGTACCATAATACATCCAGGAGTGTGATCCTCCCTCCACTTTGTTCTTCTTCAAGAGTTTCTTGGCCCTTTGCTTTTCCATACACATTTTAGAATCAGCCTGAAGTTTCCACCGAAGTCCTGCAGGAAACTTACTGGCATTTCGTTGCATCTATGGATCAGTTTGTGAATCACTGACATCTTTATAATATTGAGTCTTCCAATCTGTAAATATGATCTATCCACGAGTTTATTTATTTTTAAAATTTTTATTGAAATATAGTTGATTTAGAATGTTGTATTAGTTTCAGGTATACAGCACAGTGATTCAGTTATACATACATGTATAAATATATGTATTCTTTTATTACATTCTCTTCCATTATAGGTTATTACAAGATATTGAGTATAGCTCCCTGTGCTACACAGTAGGTCCTTTATTTTATTTTATTTATTTATGTTTGGCTGCGTTAGGTCTTCGTTGCTGCGTGCGGCCTTTCTCTAGTTGCGGCAAGCAGGGGCTACTCTTTGTTGCGGTGTGCAGGCTTCTCATTGCGGTGGCTTCTCTTTGCAGAGCACGGGCTCTAGGCACATGGGCTTCAGCAGTTGTGGCTCGTGGGCTCTAGAGCGCAGGCTCCGTAGTTGTGGCGCACGGGCTTAGTTGCTCTGCAGCATGTGGGATCTTCCCAGACCAGGGCTCAAACCCGTGTCCGCTGCATTAGCAGGTGGATTCTTAACCACTGCACCACCAGGGAAGTCCCAGTAGGTCCTTGTCGGTTATCTATTTTATATATCATAGTATCCTTGAGTTTTAAATAAAAGTTGAAAATTGTCTTCTGGGTAGAGGTTTTTCGATAGATTTATTCCTAGATATTTGGTGTCTTTTGATGGTATTGTAAATTATGGTATGATTTTTTTAAATTTTATTTTCTAAGTTCTATTTCTGATTTTCTTGATAAATAGTCAGGTTGTCTATGATTACTGACATTTTTACTTCTTTCCAATATAAGGAAAAAAATCCAACACTGGATTTTTTTCCTTCTTTCTGATATAAGCATAAAAAATCCAAAGCTGGATTTTTTCCTTCCAGTTTTATTGAGATATAATTGACATACAGCACTGTATTATAAGTTCAAGGTGTACGGCATAATGTTTTGACTTACCTACATCGTGCAGTGATTGCCACGATAAGTTTAGTGAACATCCGTCATCTTCAAAATTAAACAAATAGAAAAAAATATTTTTTGGTGATGAGAACTCTTAGCATTTACTCTCTTAACAAGTTTCACATATAGCACACAGCAGTGTTCATCATATCTATTGCATTGTACATTACATCCCTAGGACTTATTTATCTTGTAACTGGAAGTTTTACCCTTTGACCACCTTCATCCAATCCCCCCTCCCCCATCCACCACCTCTGGTAACCACAAGGGGCATCTCTTTTTCTATAAGCTTTTATGTTTGTTTTTGAAGTATAATTGACCGACAATACTGTGTTAGTTCCTGTTACACAACATAATGATTTTTTTGTATACATTTCATACATTCCGCGATGTCTAGTTATGATATGTCACCACACAAGGATATTACTCACTGACTGTATTCCCCACACTGTACATTTCATACCCATGACTCACTTATTTTGCAAGTAGAAGTTTGTACCTCTTAATCTGCCTCACCTATTTCTTTCCTTCCCCCACCCTCCGATACTCTGGTAACCACCTGTTTGTTCTTTGTCTATAACTCTGTTTCTGTTTTGTTATGTTTGCTCACTTACATCTTTTATTTTTTATTTCTTCTTTTGTCCCCCCTTGGTCTGCTGGCTAGGATCTCCAATACATTACTGAACAGAGGGGGTGCTAGTAGGTTTGTAGGTTTCTCATTTTCCTTCCTGATCGCAGAGGAAAAACTTTCTCTACTTTACTATTAAGAATGATGTTTAGTGCAGGATTTTCTTTTCTTTTTTTTTGGCTGCACTGTATGGCTTGGCTTGTGGATCTCAGTTCCCCGACCAGGGATCGAATCCGCGCCGCCTGCAGTGGAAGCGCAGAGTCTTAACCACTGGACTGCTGGGAAGTCCCTAGTGCAGGATTTTTATAAAAAGAACACATTGATTAAGAAAGCTCCCTTTATTTATAGTGTTTAATGCGTGTTTATTATTGATTGATGTTGATTATTATTCATGGATGTTGATTTTTATCAAATGCTCCTTTTGAATCTGTTGAGATTTTTCTCTTTACTGTTAATAAGGTGGATTATATTAATTGATATTTAAAAGTTAATCCAGCCTCGCATTCTGTAATAAACTCTATTTGCTCCTTTTCATATATGTCTGGATTTGGATTTGGTCTGCTAATATTTCGTTTGGGGTTTTATATGTTTATTCAATAGTTGACTGTATTTTAGCCAGTGTATTTGATATTTTTTTCTTTTAAAGTAGCTTTCATCTTGATGATATTTTTTTCTTTTAATAACATCCTGAAAAGCTACATCATCATTTTTGTTGTCTGTATAGTATTCTATTATGGGGATGTACTATTATTTATATTCTCCATCTATTGTTTTATATGTATGTTCTTTCTTTCTTTCTTTCTTTTTTGCTACTATAAAGAACATTCTCACAGACGTCATATCAGATTATTTCCTTAGAATAAATTCCCCAAAGAGAAATGATAGAGACTAAAGGTAGTCACATTTTAAATTATTTAAGAACCAAGATTTTTGTGAAAGTGAAAAAAGATACAAATATAAAAATCAAACACTTTAAATACAAAGTTAGAATCCTAAATTTGAATTAGAATATCAGTATGAACTCATGACTTTTTTTTCTCTTAAAAAACATGTTTTCTAGTTCTGGCCACTGAAAAGGTTTAGATGAAGTCATCAGTCCAGTAGCAATGATGTAGCCTCTAACTACAGTTTTCCAATAAAAGGAATCAGGGCTACTTAGAAAAACGACAGATTCTAGCCCTGGGGCAGAAAATGTACAAGATGTGCCTGAAACATCTTGTCTTATCAGAATGCAAGGAAGCGAGTAAAAACTTCTCTTCTGGGGTCCTGGGAAGAAACTCAAGATCTAACTTGAAGGGGCCAAAATGGGACAATTTGACTCATGAAAAAGGAAAAATATCTACAGTAGATTGAAACACATTAAATATATTTAAAATCCACAAGTTCATACTGATATGAAAAGAAATAACTCTTTGGTCACTTTTTGAGGCTGCTAGGGGACCACCACATTATTAGGAAAAGTGGTAAATGGCTGGAAAGAATCCAGCCTTTCCCCCCGAGTGTCCACAGGTAAACAATCACTTGATGAGGGAAATTTCATTATAGAGGCGTCCAACTAATAAAGAAAGGGGGGACGACTGGCTTAGAGTCTCACCATTTTTCATCTCCTATCATCAGAAAAAAGCTGATGAGGCACTTTGTAATGAATGGATCAACTTACCCCCTGAACATTGTCAATATCACTAAAAAGAGAGAACATTCATTATAGGGTTCCTGGTGTTGTGTACCTCCTCTTGACATACAGCACTGTATTTTTCCACATAAGAGGTATTCCTCCCCCAAAATTGAACCTGAATCTGATCGAGTCTCTAGATTTCACTGCCAACTAATAGGAAGCACAGTAAACAAAATGGAACAAGTTACAAGACACACAAGGATGCAGTTAGCACCATCTAGACTGCGGGAAGCAGACAAATTGCAGAAGAAAAGAAGAGAAATGGAACTTACAGATTAAAGGAGACTTCAGAGACATAGCAGTCAGATGCAGCACGTGGACCTTGATTGGGTCCTGATTTGAACAAGCCAACTGTAAAAAAAAATTATGAGACAATTGGGGAGATCCTAACAATAATTGGATATTTGGTGATGTTAAGGAATGATTATTTTTTAGGTATGATAATAAATAAAATATAAAAGTCCTTTTCTTGTAGAGATATCTACTGAACTACTTAGAGATGAAAATATATGTTTGAAGTTTGCTTCAAAACAATCGAGTGAGGGGGAAGGTGGGCGGGAGAACAGCTGAAGGAAGGTGAGCTCTGAGTTGATAATTGTTGAAGCCAAGTGATGGGTGCACAACATGTATTATACTATTCTCTCTATTTGATATAGGTTTGAAATTTGTCATTATAAATGAGAAAGTCATTTTGATAGGACTTTCTAAATTGCTTTTCAGATGCTGAAAAAGTTTACATTCCCACCAACAGTGTATGAGATTGCCCATTTCCACACGCCCTTGCCACGTTGGGTATTTGCATTCTTTGAATATTTTGCCAATCTGATAAGGAAAGTGGTTATTTTGTTGCTTTAATGTTAAGGTATCATTTTAATTAGAGGTTTTGTTGCTATTTGCACCTTAGAGGGCCCTTCCTCTTCTCCAGTCTCCAGAAACAATCTGCCTGTTTATGTTTTGTACAAAAGAAAAGTTGTTCTCAGACAGCTCTGTGAACCCGGCATAACAGGCAGTACAGCCATTGCCTTAGCATCTGTCTTTATTGCAGTTTCCTTTCAACCCGCACGGTTTTTATTTCCGGCTATAACACCTCAGTGATTATCAGTTAATTCCATGACCTGGATAGATTCTGGATAGAAAGTTAGAGTGAGGGTTTAACATAGATGATGGGTGCTTTTTTTTTCAATCCTTAGCAAAAAGGTGCCTGTTTTTTCAATTGTCGGTAGTGGTGGCAAAATCCATTTGAAATCTTTTTCGTATACGCATTCCCTCGTCCGTAAGGAAGGCAAGGGACTCTCCAGACCTAGAAGCACAGTCTCCGCTTTGTTTCTGAAAAGGAACATGTGTGGCTCCCCACACACTGAGAGGAAAATATGCTGCCCTCATAATTGGTCTCAGTAGGAACCCGGAGCATTCTGTTGTGTTTGCTGCTGTCCAGTGTAGTTTCATGTTTCACTCTCAGATAAATTGTATACTGAAATGCATTATGTCGCTTCAGAAATAATTACCGAGAGTGATGTTAAGTGGGAAGGAGAAGGTATACCACGAGTTTAACAAATTCCTTTTCCTCTCGCCACGCTTTATCGTGTGTGACAAAATGAACGGGCGTAAACTATTTTTGTTACTAATCTTTTCCTCTAAGGGAAGTTGGCACCACGGCTCCCCGCCCTGCTGCCGGGCCGTTGCCTCAGGAGCAGGTGTGTTACCTCGCTGCTCGTCGCTCGGGTACTCACGGTGTATGCGCTGTTTACCTTCTCCTTGAATCGACTCCAGTCCACAGGGGCCATTGTGATGTAGCAGAAAAGCAGGGCAGAGTCAGAATGTGGATTTCCTCTCTGCCACTTAGGAGCTGGGTGGTAAAGTGATCTGGCCTCAGAGGAATTTAGATTCCTCTGGCACGCCGTAAATGTCAGTTGAATTTGAATTATTAGTGAAACAAACCTGTAATGCATTCCTACTGTGTGTTAAGGTCCATGCTATCTGAAATACACGGTTCTTACCTACAAATGATTATCCCCGCTTTCCATCCCTTTTCGACGGTAACTTGCATGATTCTGGTATATGTTCCACCTGTGCTTTAGCATCAGTCCCTCTAGGAAATGCTGAAGGCTTCAAGCCTTTTCTTTGCCACAGCCTTTGAGGAGAGTTCCAGCCCAGGGACGAGGAGGTTGTCCGTCTGTTTTGATGTCAGCTTTCTCAGCAGTGGCGAGAAGCCAGCAGTAACTTGCCTGACCCGCAGTCTTTCTAGCAGCATCTGTTGGGGAAAAATACAGCTCAGCTTCATGGGAGTTAACTCCCAATTGCTGAATCCATTCTTTCAGGTTGGCTCTGCAAAGAGATAAAGAATTTATGAGGAGTGGAGGTGGATATATGCTTTGGTTTGTTCAGTGTGTGGTAACATTCATCGCTAAGGCTGGCATAAGCTCTGAGTGGCTTAGAGTAAAGGGTGATAGCGAAGCTGCGCTCTGAGACAGCAAGTGGGAGCCGATCAGATCAGGGTGCAGAGGGGGTGGCAGTTGCAGTTCTGTTGCCAGAAGTCCCTATTCTTTTGCTTGTTGACTCCTCATGTCAGTGGGCATTTTATTGTTGTTATTGAAGTTGAAGCAGAAGCACCTCCCAGAATTTTGTCCTCCTGTCTACACTTCTGAAAGGCCCTGAGCTACAGATGGAATGTCATGCAAGAGTCTGGCTCCTGGGTTAAGTGAATGCATGTTAAAACACGCATGTGCTATCTGAGGTAACTGATTTTATCTGCCTTCTTCACCCTGAGGGTTTCCCATGTTGGGCAGTGACCTTTAACTGCCTTGGCAGGTCAGATTCTGTAATATTGTTTCTTTACAGAGTTTGAGAGGTTCTTAGATGCACCACTGAGAAAGGATGTTTCTCTGAAGAGCTGCAGAATATCATTTCCCAAAGGGCCAGATGTATTTCCACAAACTAATCTTCATTGGATACCTGCTATGTGGCCAGCAGCCTTTTAAGGTTGTAAAGGAAATACATGCTGTCACCTCGGTCCTTAAAGAACTTAGATAATAATAATAATCTATTACTATTAATATTAAGCACTTACTAAATGCCAGACACTCTACTACTGGCCTCATATACACATTGTTCCACTTAATCCTCACAACAACCTATGAGGTATGTATTACCATGCCCATTTTACAGATAAAGAAACAAAGGTTCAGAGAAGTGTGTTAACTTGCCAGCATCTTAATCGAAATCTGTCTGACTCCAAAGCCTGTGGTCTGCTTGCGTGAGGTACAGTTCGAGAGGCAAGCTGGGCTCCCAGGGAAATGCACACGAATTGGCAATGGAGACAAAGCTACGAGGAACAGCTAAGGTGTGACATGTCAGAACCAAGATTCTGAAAGATCTTGGCAGACTGAAAGAACAGAAAAGACAATAAAATGAAATTTACTAGAGATACATGGCCATTTAAGTAAAAATCAGCTATGTAATTCCTGAGCAGGAGAAAAAGGGTTCAGTAGCGCTCTTTGAGCAGACAAGAGGACCCAGTGACCTGCCACTTCCAAATGGGGAGCGCTAGGACGTGGCGGTCTCCAGTAAACGCTGGTGCAAGCTGATGGCGATCCGCTGAGGGGTAAATGGACACAGCAGGACCGTGAGCAATGGGTCAGTGCATTAGGGGTTTGGGTCTTGAAGTACTGGAGGAACTGTCTTCATGGGGCACAGAGGGGGCACTTACTTGGTGTAACTCGAGAGGGAAGTCGGGGAGGTCTTGACTCCACGGGAACATCCCTGAGCTGTTCCAGAACCATCCGGGCTGCCTGGTGGGCAGTGTGAGGAAACGTGAAGCCCAGGCTGGACGGTGTCGCTGGGTGGGATTCTGTGACTCCAGGGGCTGCAGAAGGTCAGAGCAGAGAGCGGACGCTGTTCCCAGAGAAAGCAGACGACGAGGACGGGGTTTAGACGGTTGCCGAGGGAAGAGCATTTTAGGCGAGGAAAGACAAAGAAAAAAGGGAGTAGGCACTTCCAAACACGTGTCTTACTTGTTGAACAGGGGGAGGGCATGGCTTGAGTATGAGTAATGGTGCTAACGGAGCAGGAGAAATGCGCTTGCGTCAGAGGGATCTGAGTGGTATATATCCCGAGGCCGCTTATTTAGAAGGTGAGAACTTTTAAGGTACCATTATTTTCCTCCGGTGTATTTGGTAAAGTTAATCGAATCCATGACCCAAACCGTGTCTTATTTGCAAGAGACTAATTTCAGTGTGATGAACAAAATAGGCATCTCTTTCCTTGTTACTTACAAACCTCGGCCTCTCTGAAGTGTGTGACAGGAGAGCTGGTACCCACTGAATTTTACCAACTGCGTCTTGCACCACGTGTTCAATTTTAAAGCCACGTGGTTGAAGGTGGGTCAGATCTTTACCTGCATTATGCTGTGGCCCCCTGCAAAGGCAGGAGGGTCCCCACCCCAAACCAAACTGAGGCTGATGATACCACACATGTTCCAGGAGGGTTTGGAAGGGTTCATTACTTTCATATTTGAAGTCTCCGGGGAGACAGGGCAGGCCCCTCATGCAGGTTTGGAAAGGCTGAGAGAGCAAGGAAGTGGGACTTGAGGTGAAGGCTGGGATCGGCACGACAGTCCCCAGCATGTGGTCAGGGGCTCGTGGGATCTGAAACTCCCGCTGGCACCGGCAGAGCCCAGATGTTGGGCAGAAACAGCAAAAAAGGAAAACAGATCTCTTATTACAGCCCATAGATGGAAATAAGAGTCATTTCTGCAGGGCCTCGAAGGGAGCTGGCGAGAAGAGTATCGCGCCCAAACCTTGTGTTCTGCGTGTGTCCTGGCTAACCCCAAACAGGCTGTACTAACGTTACGATTAAATGTCGTCCAGGCCTCGTTGCCGGTGCACAGCCAGGTGCTACCTTCGCTTGAGGGTGTGGGTGGCACGGACCCTTTGGCGACCCTGCAGAGCCCCATGGCCAGACTGGAGGCCAAGGATGAGGAGGACTCAGAAGACTCGGAGGAGGAGGAGGAGGACGGCGGAGACACAGACCTGGACGACTGGGAGCCTGACCCCCCTCGGCCCTTCGACCCGCACGACCTGTGTACGTAGAGCCGCCTCTCGGGAGCGCGTGTGGGCGCAGGGCGGGCTGGCCCCTGCCGGGGCTCCTGGTGCAGATGCTGCGCCCGGTCTAGGTGTCGCCCTCACTCCATCCTCAGGCAGCCTGTGAAGGAGGCCCTGGCTGTCCCTAGAGTTCTGATTGTACTGATGAGCGAACTGAAGCCCAGGGGAAGCTGGGCGGCCTGCTCAGTGCCCCAGGGGGCCGGGGTTGGGTCAGGACCCAGCCTCAGTCTCTGATCCCAGAGCTCCAGCTGCCAGACCGTGATGTGGTCCAGTCCTGGCAGATCCGGCCATTTCCGATTCCACAAGTTCCCTTCCTGCTTTACCTCTCTTCATACCGACCTGAAAAAATGCCTGTTATAAAAAGACGCCTGTTCTGAAAAGACACCCCAGGCACCAGAGCGCTGCATTTTTCTAGCTCGACTAACGCTCCGCACAGTCTTGTGGGGTCGGCAGCTTTCCCAAGGTCGTGCTCAGTTGTTCAAGAGCCAGGGTTCGAACTCGGGTGTCTGCTGGCTGCAGGTGCCCAGGACGACTGCCTGTCCGTCCTGCCTGCTTGGGGGGTGGGTCCTGCTTCCACCCACCAAGCCATTGCCGCTGCCCATCAACTTCGTGCCTAGATGACAAAGTCCTTATCTCCCCTTGTGAGTTACGAGACTCTGCAGAGCTTTGAGGTCTCACCGTATTTCCCCTGGACCTTCTGTGTCGTGGTGGTAGGCCTGTTTGCATGGGGCCAGTGTTCATCTCCAGGCCCAAAGAAGGGCTTCCTCATTTTGCTTTTCTTTGAATTCATAAGTTTTCAAGGCAACTCCTTAGTCAAATACACAACACACAAGGTCACTTTATGTTATAAATATTAATACAAGATAGCTCTCCATTATTGGAGAACTGTGGAAATTGGAAATACCCATTTTCTAAGTCAGGTCATCACACAGCCAGAGTTGGGTAAACTATAATTGGTTAATTAGATTTGTTTAGGGTCACGAGCATGCTCTCTGTGTGGCCCAGTCCCTTTTTCCTGTTTTGTGGCTGGACCTGTCTCATTCTGGCAGTGAGCTGACAGATGGGTGACACTGGGAAAGGGGGTGAACGTGGATGCTTAGTGCCCACCGGTCACTCGCAGAATGAGCTGAAAGTACATATCAGGGCTGGGCTAACTGTGTCATCCAGGTGAATGAAGGATGGGATGCTAAATTCATTCATGTCAGCATTACCTTCACACAGTACACACGGAAATCTCAAACTCAACAGCGCTTTTTCTGTTGATTTAGACATGCCCAGACAATAAGGCTTCTATAACTCCCTTTGAGGAAACTGATTAAACAGTATTGTCAGGTTTTTAAATAACAGCTTTATTGTGATATAATTTACATACTATAAAATTCACCTAATTTACATATTATAAAATTCTCATCAGATTTTGCAACATTTAGCCTAAGAAGCTCCTCTTTTCTCTTTTCAGACATGTTATAATTGATTTGCAAGTTTAATGCCACTATTTGAATGAATATCCAACAGAGGAATAAATCACGGCCTGCAAATTATTTCCGGCAGCTAATTCTGCCTGGCTTTAGCAGAGAAGCACAGGATCTTAGTGGCCTCTGAGGAGGAATGTATTACAGTGGAATGGGTATTGCAGCTGTAGGAGTGCATTGAGTTTGGGCTGGGAAGTTTAGATTTGGGGATTTTTCAGGTTGGAACTTTTCCCCTGAGACTGTGACGTTGAGGATTGCTCTCTCGTGTAGGGTGTGAGGAGTGTAATAACGCGCACTCGTCCGTGTGCCCGAAGCACGGCCCCCTGCATCCGATCCCCAACCGGCCGGTGCTGACCCGGGCGCGGGCCAGCCTCCCCCTGGTGCTGTACATCGACAGGTTCCTGGGCGGTGTGTTCTCCAAAAGGCGTATCCCCAAGCGCACCCAGTTCGGCCCCGTGGAGGGGCCGCTGGTCAGGGAGTCGGAGCTGAAGGACTGTTACATCCACCTCAAGGTAATTTATGCTTCAACATAGTCCAGTCTCGTTCCGACGATTTTTAAGGGGCACACGTTTTCCCACCAAGCCTCTTAATGCAATCTCATAGCAGTTCGCTAGTAGTTTTCTTTCTGTGCTTGACTTGTTTCAAATGGAGACGTTTTCTCTCTCACCAATGACACAGAGGGTACGGTTTCAGTCCCCGAAGTCTCAATGTGAATAATTCTGAGAGGTGTAGTTCTCAGGGGCTGGATTAGTCTGGGAGGGCTGCCAGATCAAACATGACAGACCGGGGGAGCTTAAAGAACCGATGTTTGTTTTCTCACAGTCCTAGAGGCTGGAAGTCCAAGGCCAAGGTGCAGGCAAGGCTGGCCCCCGGTGAGGCTGCTCTCCTTGGCTTGCAGGTGGCTGCCCTGCGGCTGCCTTTGCACAGGGCTGTCCCTGTCTGCAAGGTGCCTCTGCAGCTTCTCTGTGTGTCCTGATCTCCCCTTCCTATGAGGACACCAGTCAGATGGGATTGGGACCCACTCTTGCAAAGCCGTGTCTCCGAATGCAGTTACATTCTGGGCTACTGGGGGGCTAGGGCTTCAACATACACATTTTGGGGGGGACACAATTCATCCCATAAAAGGGACTCGACAGCTTGTTTTTCAAATTAACTATGACTGGAGCATAGAATTACGTCGACTCATGTTATCTGTTAAGTGCCCATAATGTTTTTAGGAAAACCTCTTTGCAGTTTTTTAAAAAATTAATTAATTAATTAATTTTTGGCTGTGTTGGGTCTTCATTTCTGTGCAAGGGCTTTCTCTAGTTGCCGTGAGTGGGGGCCACTCTTCATCGCGGCACACGGGCCTCTCACTGTCGCGGCCTCTCTTGTTGCGGAGCACAGGCTCCAGACGCGCAGGCTCAGTAGTTGTGGCGCACGGGCCTAGTTGCTTCGCAGCACGTGGGATCTTCCCAGACCAGGGCTCGAACTCGTGTCCCCGGCATTGGCAGGCATATTCTCAACCACTGCGCCACCAGGGAAGCCCCTAATTAGTCTCATTTTTTGATGTGTTAGTTAATGATGAAATATCAACCAAAGCTGTACACTCAGGGTGCTAAGTTGTAGATTTTGCTAAGTAATCCTTCTGTAGGTGAGTCTTCAGAAGGTATCTTCTTCCTGTTCCATTCGGCAAGACACAATTCCAGTATCTTTCTAGATACAAAGGGGAGAATCAGCATATCTGGTTAATTTCAGGAACAATATCTTGTATGTCATTACATGAATATCTATCATATTAGAGGTTTTGTGTATGTGTGTCTTTTTACTTTCACTCTGGTTGCAGGTTTCTCTTGATAAAGGTGACAGAAAAGACAGGGATTTGCACGAAGACCTGTGGTTTGAGTTGTCTGACGAGACCCTTTGTAACTGGATGATGTTCGTGCGCCCGGCCCAGAATCACCTGGAGCAGAACCTGGTGGCTTACCAGTATGGCCACCACGTGTACTACACAACAATCAAGAATGTGGAGCCCAAGCAAGAGCTTAAGGTACAGTGCTGGGTCAGTGGCGCCTTTGCTAGGAATTGCAATTGCTTCATGCTTTTCCTACTTTTCTTTTCCCTTTGCAGAGGGATTCTTTAAACAATGGTCCTTTTCTTGTAATTCACTTACTTACTGAGCACTTGCTGTGTACTGTACACTTCTAATAATCCCACAAATAAAACAGAATGAAAAGTATATGACTTTTGAGATCTCTCAAAGGCGTTCATGAAGGTATTAGGCCCAGGGGTGAGGAAGTAGTTGTTTTGGGGGCACAGGCAGGTCTGTGTGATTAAAGATGGGCTTACTTCACATCATTTACACATTCTAAGGAAGAGTTAGCTGGGAAACAGGAGATCTTGTAAAATGGAATTCAGATGTATGGGCGAGATTTCTTTATCTGAAGACTCATTTTACCCAAAGAATTCTATGCACTGACTTCTGATTTTAGGAATACATTTTTTGGGGATAACACTCTGTAGGAATTTGTCTAAATATTAACTCTTGATGATTAATGAAAATTCCGCTATGATTCTAAGGGAAAATCTCCTCTGCCCCCCACTACCCGTGCCCGTTTTTAAAGCTATGTTAGGAACATGGTAAAAAGAGGGGGTCAAAATATTAAAGTTATAAATGAAAAATATGTCAGAAATGATTGCTTTGGTACATGAACACCGAATAGCACTGTGCCTCAGTGTGATAAAGTGAGAAATAGATACTTCTTTGGGGGGAACAAAGACCTAGACTTTGTTTAAAAGCTGTACAAACCCTGCGTCTTTGAAACCGTCAAGTTTAGATAATCCATAACCTCCAAAGAAAATGTGTAGAAGGAGATTCACATCTCACACCTGTATTCCAACAAATTCTTGATACTGAATGAGTACTTTTAACTGTGGAGGGGAGATTATTTTCTCTTTTAATGCAGTAGAAGGCAGACAGATACAATTAAATAAGAATATAATAGTTCAATATAATGAACAACCAAAACAACAGATAAAAAGAAAGCAACAGAATGGGGGAAATATTTGTAATACATGTTAAAAGGTTTGAGTATACAAACTGAGAGAAAGTTGTGTGCCTCTAACATCACTACATCCAGATGGACAATAAATAAGTATCGGGAATAGACTTTATTTGGGGGAGGACTCAAATAGTAAAGAAATGTTAAAACATTTTTTTAAAGGTTGATAATTTAAAAACCCTTAAAGCAACTATGAGTTAATATTTTTGTTAATTTAAACTAGCAAAAATAAACAGATATAATACAAGGAGTGTGAGGGTTTAAAAAATAGGGATGTCTGTTTCAGAATTGCAAGATTTTATAGAATATTTTATAGAATATTTCTGACAGTAGGCAGCAAAAATGTTCTTGGCCGAGTAAACCCAATCCTTGAAAATAAGTCTGAGGAAATAATTATAAGCAAAGATAGAGCTAGCTACATTAGAATTTTGTAATTTTTTTGCTGACTCAGACATTAAGATGCACCATCATTTTGCACACCATTGAGAAAACACTGCCAGCTGAGCTATGTTACAGTGCTTATTTTAATCAACAGAAGTAGTTATTTTATTTTTATGGCAGGAGCTATTTTGGACTTATTTAGACACAATTTTGAAATCACATCACACTTACGCATATTTAAAAAGGCACACTATAAGCAAAAGAAATTGGTTCAGGTATAAACTGCTTTCTGTGCAGTCTGACTTTTTTTTCTTTAACTGGATCATTGTTTTACTTTATCGTGGATGTTTGTGCTTTTGTCTATCTGTCATCTTCTGTACCATCAAGGTGCTGATGATGGTGCAGTGTTTTTAGAATAAGTGCTCCTCTGCTACCTCTGCGATATTTTTCCAAGCCACTGATAGCTTTTCTGTAAGCTTTGATGCCGTGCTTTCCCATTGACCGAACCCATATGTGTCTTTTTCCTCAATTGAAACACATGTCCTTGGAAGCTGAGAGTTTTTTGATCAAGTCAGTGGGAAGTTTCTGATCACTCGATGTTTGATACCTTAATGAGAGTTCCTCCGGTATGATCACACCAGCCTTGCATTGCTTTGAAATTTCTTTCGTTTATTCTGAGGGAGATGGCAGGTTTTTTTTGGCCTTCATTTTCATTGCTTGGCAAGTGTAGCACCTCACGGGGTGCCAGTGGGACACATAACCGGAATGAGGTGAGAATGGAAAGATCTCGGCCAGGTTTGTGCAGGAGCAAAGGCAGGTGGTCACGGCTACGTCAGGGCAGTGACCACAGAATGCCATGGATTGGGAGGCACACTCTGATTTCTGCATCAGAGAATATGAGAAACATACCTCTTGGAATCGATGAACAAGGCAGAATTTATAACAGCAGAATGATAAACTACCTAAAAGTCCAACCACAGGGTCATGGTCAAGTAAAGTATAGAATACAGACTCTGTAGAATATTATTCCACAGTTGAAAATGAAGTCTCTCAGTGTGATTATTTCCATATGGTTAAAATAATGTTCCACAACAATTGTATATGATGGATTCATTTAGTGACCCAAACATGGACCTTGTACTATGTTCCAGACACTAGGAGAAGACAGACTGGTGCCCTGCGTTCAAGGAACTTGTCCTCCAGAGGGGAGGTGGGCAGAAAGGTGTAAATAAGCAAATAATATCAAATAGTGGGAAGTGCTGTGAAGGACACAAAAGATGTGAAAGGAGCAGATAACAGAAAGGCCCCAATTTAGGTGTGACGGGAGAGGGCGGGCCTTGCTGAGGAGGTGACAGTGAAGAACCCAACATTCCTGGTGGTGGAACAGCAAGGGCGAGAACTCTACATGTTGGAGGAACTGAAGGTGGGTAAAGGAGGGTGGTGGGAGCCCTTTGCAGACCAGCGTCAAGCACTTGAGGTTTACTGAGAACCAAGCAGCTGTTGCAGGCCATTAAGCATGGGAGTGAGTGGTGAAATCCGACTGTGTTTCCAGAAGACCGCGCTGGCTTCTGTGTGGGGACTGGAATGCAGGGAGCGAGAGTGGAAAAGCAGAGGCTCGTTAGAAAACCAGGCAAGAGCTCATCTTGGTGTGCGTCTAGGTGGGCGGAGCAGACGGAGGACGTCTGAGCCACCGAGAGTTCTTACTGAGGCATTACAGAAGAAAACAGAAATATGGTGGTCCAGGGGCTAAGGCTCCACGCTCCCAATGCAGGGGGCCCGGGTTCGATCCCTGGTCAGGGAACTAGATCCCACATGCCATGACTAAGAGTTCGCATGCCACAACTAAAGATCCCGCCTGCCGCAACTAAGACCCAGCACAGCCAAATAAATAAATATATTTTAAAAAGGATTAGCTTTTAGATTTCAAGTCTGAGCAACTGTGTGGGAGGTGGGGTATTTACTGAGATGGGGAAGGTAGGCAGGGGTGGGGGGCGAGGAGGAGAGCATCTGGAAGTCAGGTCCGGACAAGCGCCATCAGGCAGGTAGTAGAATGTAGGTAGAGGGCAGGAGGGGAGGGTCTGGGGTAGAGGCAGTGACCTGGGAGTCATTAGCACAGAGTTGGCTGCAATGGGTGCGATCACCTCAGGAAGAAATAAGAAGGCCCTGGACTTGGACTATGCTTCGAGGAACAGCGCTGTTCAGGGTACGGGAGGGGAAGAACAGCCAGACAGGGAGACTGAGCAGAAGCGGCCCGCGGGGTAGGGCGGAGGAAGGGGCTCAGGAAGGTGGCATAGCTCTGGTGACCCAGCAGTGTTGGGGTGGAGCCACCATGATCACAGCTGTGGAGAAACCTGTGTTTAAATACAGATAAAAGAATTGGAAGAGGGCTTCCCTGGTGGCGCAGTGGTTGAGAGTCCGCCTGCCGATGCAGGGGACACGGGTTCGTGCCCCGGTCCGGGAAGATCCCACATGCCGCAGAGCGGCTGGGCCCGTGAGCTATGGCCGCTGAGCCTGCGCGTCCGGAGCCTGTGCTCCGCAACGGGAGAGGCCACAGCAGTGAGAGGCCCACGTACCTTAGGAAAAAGAAAAAAAAGAATTGGAAGAGGCTCTGCTTCATGCAGATCAAGAGACTATTGATGTTATCTCTCGTGAAGTTGTTCTAATAACAAAACCAGTTTTTTATCTTTTTATTTTTTACATTTTATTTATTGATTTTTTTGGCCTCACTGCTCGGCACGTGGGATCTCAGTGCCCCGACCAGGAATCGAACCCGTGCCCCCTGCAGTGGAGGCGCGGAGTCCTAACCACTGGACCGCCAGGGAAGTCCCACAGTTTTTTACAAAGGAAAAAGAAAACACACAGTGTGTTTTGGCAGGCGAACTTCCTGACTGACCGTCTGCACTAACGGGGTCACCTCACAGTTCGGCTTCTTTTGTTTGTTTGTTTGTTTTCCGTGGGCTGTAGAAAATCCTGAATTGTTTCCTGTGAGCAGGAGGGGGGATTGAAGCACATGAAGCACATCCGGTGATGCCCTTTGTCCTTGATGATGTACTTGGCTCTTGCAGGTGTGGTATGCTGCTTCCTATGCCGAGTTTGTGAACCGGAAGATTCATGACATTTCCGAGGAAGAAAGGAAAGGTGCTTGGACTTTTTCATTTTTTTTGTATTTCATATATTGATTCTAAATTGTATATATTACTTACATCTTTAGGCAATGTCTAATTTTTCTATCTCTCTGTATTTAAGATATTCTAATAGGTTCTTTAGAGCTGCACATCCCTGTCTAATTCTAGGGTCAAATGACAATGACATATTTACATTTCTTTCATGGGTGCTGGAAAATAGTATTTAATATAATGAAAACTCCAAATACTAAATTAGGACCTAGATCAGAGGACGATCCCTATCGAGATGTAATCATCTCTGAACACGGCAAGGTAGGCATTGACTTTGTTTTCAAAGTAAATGTCACTGAAGTACAACCTACGTACAGAAAAGTGCGCAAATCCTAAGTAAGGGCCCAATGAATTTTCATAACGTGAGGATACCTGGGCAACCCGCACCCAGATCAAGACACAGAGCGTGGCCATGGCCCCAGGACTCCCCTGAGCCTTGTAATTCCTCCTCACTCCCAAGTGTAACTAATCTCCCGACTTCAGCACCACAGATATGCTGATGTGCTTGTTACCAAACTTTTTATAAATGGAATTATGTGATATGTACATTTCTGGTGTCTGGGAATCTTTTGTTTGTGAGATTCTTCCATACTGTTATGTATTAATGTAATTTGTTTATTCTCATTGCCATTTGGGTTTCCATTGTGTGAATGTACCGCAATTCACTGATCTATTTCTACCATAGAAATGTGGGCTGCACAATGCAATCCTGGCACTGACTAGCTGGAGTGAGGTCACATTCTGCAGGTCAACGGCAGAGTCCTCCACAAGGCCCTCCCGACTTCAGACAGTAGTCTCAAGCCCTGGGGGTCCCACGCCCCCTGCACTTCTGACCAGCTAGCTACAATTTAGGGAGTTCCTGCTAACCCCCTTATGTCTGATAATTCCCTAGCACGATTCATGGGACTCAGAAAAGTGCTGTACTTATGAGTACCATTGTAGTATAAAGGATGCACGGGGGGACCAGGCAAATGGAGAGACACTCAGGGCAAAGTTTGGGAGGATCCCAAATGTGAAGCTCCCATGTCCTTAGGCCGTGTCACCACCCTGGAGCACTGATGTATGATTACCAGCCTAGAAGGCTCACCTGAGCTTCTGTGTCCAGAGTTTTTCTCAAGGCATCATCACATAGGTGTGAGTGATTGGCTCCTTGGCCTGTGATTGAACTTGCTCTCCAGCCCCTGCTCCCCTGCCTGGTTGATACCACCTGGCGCAAAGCCCCAACCCTGTAATCAGAAGGTTGGTCTTCCTGACGCAGCCAGCCCCATCCTGAGCCATCTCATTAGCATAAACTCAGGTATGGTCACAGATCACCAGGAATAACAAAGACGTGCTTCTTACTTGGAGATTCCAAAGATTTAGAGGCTATTTCCCAGGGACCGGGGACAAATGCCAGCAAAATTCTTTATTATACAGCAGGGTCGTTTCCAGTTTCTGGCTAACATGAGGGTGCCACTGTGCACATTCTTGCATGTCTTTTAGTGAACATATGTGCATATTTCTGTTGCGTGCACATCTAGGAGTGGATTGCTGGGTCATACGATATACACACAATCAGCTTTAATGGGTACTTCTGAACATTTTGCTAAAGTGATTACATTGGGCATTGACTTTCAAGTTATTTGTGATACAGTATACCATCTGATTATGAAACTTGGATCTGAATCACTGGGTTATCTGCATACAGATTTCCATTGTAGCACTCCTTGTCTTTCCAGTGTGGTAAGGTCGTGTGTGTGTGTGTGTGTGTGTGTGTGTGTGTGTGTGTGTGTGTGTTGTATGTATTGCGGGGTGGGAGAGGGTAGCACAAGGGTGTTTGTTCCTTTGATGTCTTATGCAAATATATCAGAAAACAAGATCCTAAAAATTATTCTCTGTCAAACTTTAGCCTTTGATTTTATAACAGAACAGCAGACATTGCGTATTTATGAACACTGGGCTACGCTGAGATGGGAATGGTGTGGGTACCGGGCATCTGAGTGTTATTGGTGCCTGTTGGTCACCAGCCTCCGTGGTTTCTCTCCCACGACTGCAGTTCTTCGAGAGCAAGAGAAGAATTGGCCCTGCTACGAATGTAACCGCCGATTTATAAGCTCAGAGCAGCTGCAGCAGCATCTCAATTCGCATGATGAGAAACTGGATGTGTTTAGCAGGTATAATAATAAGGGGGAAGACTTCAAAAACTTCGTTTTTAAAGTTCCAGTGTCGTTTCTAGATCATCTGTGAATTTATGGGTCTGTGTGTGTGTGCGTGCACACACGCGCGCTTGTGTGTAGACAGGTAACCAGGGAGGCTGCTGAAGGACATTTCTTATCCGTCGTTTCCTTTTTTCCGCTGGTTCTCATCACTACTTGTGTCTTTTCCAGCATAACCAATACCCAGCAATAGGACATCTTTTCACCTTAGTAAAATCTCCCCTAACTAGAGATTCTGAAATAGGAATTCTTCTGATTTTCAAACTCTTTTCAGTAGTAGGATTCCTTCATCAGACTAAGTCCTATGTTTAATTCCCACTATATAAAAAAGGTAGGTGAAGGAGAATTCCACAGGATGGGGTAAGCAGCAGCTGGATCACATAGGCCTGATGGGTAGTGGCAGGAAATTTGAATTTAATTCTATGTGTGATAAGAAGTCTTTAGAGTCTGCTGATCAAGGGATATTGTGATGTTAGTTACATTTCTAAACATAACTGTGGATAAAAATAAAACTATCACCTTAGCTTGTGTTGCAGTAAGAGTGAAGACAGGGAGTCTAGTTAGAAGCTATTTCAACAGTTCAGATGAAAAATGAGAGTGGTTCCGGGCAGAGTGGTCCCGGTGGGACAGATGTAGGGTTGCCAGCTTTTATGTGATTTGAAAAGAGAGGAGATGGTGCGAAATGGCATTTAGGGAAGTGGGAGAGTAAATATCCCAGGGAAGTCCGGTGTGATTGCCTGCAACGTGAGTGAGGGCTCATGTGAGTCACGGCTGTGTCGTCACCAAGTGTCTTTCGCTGCGAGGGTGCCGGTGCAGAGCCGGCAGGAAGTCGGTTTCACCAAGCGCGTGCAACGCAACAAGAGTGATGAAGCAGCAGTGGGGAGGGAAGAGCATGTACAGGGGAGTGACTCCAGTGAAGGACCTTGGAGCTTATGAGTGGAAGGACGGAGATAAAACATGAAGAGGATGCAGGACTGCAGACAGGGCACAGGACTGGACTGGAGCTGCTGGTGAGGCAGAAGGATCGTTGAGTCCAGGTGTCTGAGGGCGTGAGCTGGAAGTTAGGACACCGTGTAGGAGCGGGCGAGGCATGGCATCAGGACAGTGGGGATTCCGCACCTCCCAAGGACGACAAGGCTGAGGGTGTGACCACGGGAGCAAACGTCTGGGGTGCATGGAGGACACAGCAGGAGTTCCATCGCTCCCTCCTGTGTTTCCCGAAAACTCCGACCATGGCTCTGTTATAGCACTTTTTATATTCTATTGTGAGGTTTGGTTTACATGTCTGCTGCCTCTACTGGACGTGTGAGGGTAAAAACTGTTGCATGTGACTTACCGTCTTTAGTGTCAAGCTCCGTGCATGACACATTGTAGATAAAAATGTTTGTTAGCCAGCTGTTAAAAGATATTTGAGACAATTAGGCAAATTTGAACTTTGGCTAGATTTAATAAATGTTGAGCAACTATCACTTATTTTTTAGGTGCGATAAAGTTGTTGTGGAGATATGTGTATTATATATACAAATATATGTCCTTATGTTTTAGAGGTACATATTGAAATATTTACAGATGAAATGATGTCTGGGATTTATTTCAAAATAGCCTAATGGGTATGTGTGTGGGAGAAGTGGTGAGGCTATAGATGGGATAAAACTGGCCATGAGTTGGTAAGTATTGAAATGAGGTAGCGGGTACACTGGCCTCCTTGTATTCTCCACATTTGCCGAGGTTCGGAATTTCCCATAATAAAGAATCTTTTAATGTGGTGTTTACTGGATGTGCTATGGAACCGGTGAATTAGAAATTTGTTCTGACCTTCCAGAAGATTATAGTAAAACAAGGGCGTTCCTTTGACTCGATAGCCACATTCCGTGGAAGGAACATGAGGTGAGCAAGGGGAAGACTGGAATCTTGTATCCAGGACACACACTAGGCGTGTTCTGTCCTGTCTGCATTGCTCACAGAATCACAGAGATGTGTGCGAGCTTCCAGAATTTTTGGTAGCAAAATGTTGTCAGTGCTTTGACTTTTTAAACCTCCTTTTATTCTGAATAATTTAAGACATCTCTGAGCTATGTAGATGGCAAAGATGAGAAATTTGGAAAGCGTGCATGAGCAAAGTGATTGTTTCCATTAGAAAAAAAGAATCAGGAAAAGAAATCAAGTGAGAGGAAATCAAGATTTGGGGTGAATCGGGATCATTCAGGGAAATATTTTTTGCGCAGTATTGTGTAACCATGACTATCTATAACCCAATGTCTTGTCCCCAGAACAAGAGGCAGAGGAAGGGGGCGAGGCAAGAGGCGGTTTGGCCCAGGTCGGCGGCCGGGACGCCCTCCCAAATTTATCCGCTTGGAAATAACCAGTGAAAATGGGGAAAAGTGTGATGATGGGACACAGGTATGGGGGATGGGAAAGCAAGAGCTCTTCTTGGATGCTTGGTTAGAGAACTTATGAGAACCATTACTGGATTCAAATACAAACGCCTCTCAGAGGGTGATGGGCCTGCCTGTCAGTGCTGTGCTGCCTGGTAATTAAAGTCTGACTAGAGAAAGGCTAAAAAGAACGTTGTTTCAAACGTTACTTACAACAAAAACCCAACTCTGCTGCCCTAAAGGTTTGAAATTGTCCAGAGACATTACTGGGGGACTCTGTTTAATTAGTTTAAACAATTAAAATGATGATATTCCAGAAGAGTCCTGTCATAGTCTTTTCCTCACAAAATGATCTGGAATGTCTCCTGGTTTTTACATCCTGTGGATGGTTACCTAACTAATTTTCTCAGAAAGAAAATATTCTTTTCTGAGCATAACGACGCTAGTCATTTAAAAAGTAAAGCAGCAATTCTAAATCCTAGCACTAATGTCTATCTAGGTAGGGAAATAATTGCTGGTTATTGCAATTTCAGGACTTGCTGCATTTTCCCACCAAGGAGCAGTTCGATGAGGCTGAACCTGCAACTCTGAATGGGCTGGACCAACCAGAGCAGCCCGCGCTCGCAGTCCCTCAGCTGCCACCGGAAGCCCAGTCTTCTCTGGAGCACGAGACGGAAACGCACGAGCTGCACCTGCAGCCCCAGCACGAGGAGAGCGTGCTGCCCGCCCAGAGCACCCTGACGGCCGACGACATGCGCAGGGCCAAACGCATCCGGGTAAGCGGGACGGCCGCCCTGCCCTCTCCCAGCCCTCCGCCCCGCGGGCGCTGACCTCTGTCTAGGCAGCCAGCCGCGTAGGTTCCCTGCCGTTCACCACCACTTCTAAGGCTTGCTTGCATCTAGCCTATCACAGGCTCAAGCCCCTTGTTTTGGAAGAAAGTATGAACTGTTTCTCTGGGTCTCTGGGTCCCGTGGCAGGCTGGCATGGCCGGTCCTAGATTCCATCAATTTAGCAGTGACTCAGAAGCCTGGCTCTTGGCAGCATCCGGACTAGTGTAGTTAGAGTAGAATAACTCTCTGGATGCCTAAACTCACAGATTGGAAATGGAGAGATAAGTACACTGAGTTGTAATAGTTACTTACGTTGAAGCCAGGCTAATCTGTGCCTAATCATAGCTCTCAAGTCAGTTTGGGGTTTTGAATTTGTTTATCAATGGTTTCCAAGGGGAGACTGGCAAATGCCAGGACCCGTCAGTGCACAGGGACCTGAGTTCAAGTTGATCTGGCAGGTGCAGCGCACACACGGGGACAGCTCGGAGCTAAGCTCCAGGTTCGGGGGTAGGGCAGTGTCTCACCCGCGTGACCGGTGACTTGACTTCAGGCCATGTGGCTGCAGGGCCTCCATGGCTGCCTGGCCCGGTGTGTTTTGTCCCTATTTCACAGACAGCGTTGATTGTGCGTTAGGACCTGCGGGGGATGCATGTGGAGAGCAACGTGGTTTTGTGAGATCAGTGTCTGTGCGGACAATTGACATACAGAAGAGAATGACTTAAACCCGTGATTGTGGTAGCAGGACGTTTAAAGACTTTTCTTAATCCTTTATGCAGATGAAAGAGACTTTTTGTATAACTTCCCAGGCTTTACAGTTTCTAGGTGGACGATCATTTTAGCTTATGTTTCTTTGGGTCTTATTTGCCAATAGGCTAGACGGGACCTTGAACAATAGTCTAGTCCGTGCCTTCATTTAAAAATACATTTAAATGTTTGTTCTGTATGACAGCGTGGAAGAACTCTGAGCCATCAGGCTAAATAGACTTTATAAGGGTCCTGAAATGGAAACGTATAAAACTTATGGCTCCACGTGTATTATTTCAAAAGGATGTGTAAACCTACATACATATACACCAGAAAGGCAAAAGGCTCTGCATACCTTCCATCCGTCATGCCACATGATTCCCAGTCTGTGTTTCACTCTTTCTTGGGCAATTACTATCTTTTCTGCTTTGGCCATTCTGATTTTTCACTAGGTCCGTAGAAATGCTTTCTAGATTGAATTTTTTGAAGGAAAAAACCAAAGCCCACATGTTTCGTGAGGTGTGGATGTGTAAGCATAGTGTAGCCATGATCGTACGTGTGTTCTGGAATGAACTGGGTTACTGGTTTTGGAACAAGCTTCCTTGTGTCAAAGCAAAAGCCGTGTGTATGTGGCTTTTGGAGGTCAGTCTTAGGTGAGCGATGTTTTTTTTTTTTCCTCTCACACATTCTAAAAAGCAGGGGCTATGTATTTTTTCATCTTTTCTATCCAGATTGGTAATGACCAACTGAAGGGAAGCCTTCCAACCCCATTGGTAATGTAACTATTTTTCTCTCCTCTAATGCTGCCTGCTCAGTTGGAGCTGCAGGTACGTTTGTTTCCTGTGTTTCACTCACATAACAGAATGTTATTTAAGTGTTTGCCTGACCTGCTGTTCTTTGCAACCTGTACTTACTAAATCCTGGTGGAAACGACAGTTTGGTTGCTACAGTCAATGCAAATTAGTTAATGAATAATGATAATTTATTTTCAAATAGCGAGTGGGCTGCAGTTTGCTCATACACAAAATGAAGGGTAGGACTAAGTGATCTCCAAGGTCCCTTCCAGCTCTGAAACAACTGAATGACTTCTGCAGTGGCACCGAGTTCTGACTGTATGTTCAGCACTGCCTAGGTGCACAGTAGAAATTTCACTGGTGTCCTGTCCTCTGGGATCTTCCAGTCTAATTAGGGAGGCAATGCTAATGTAAGGTGGGTCACAGTTAAGTGCTACACGTAAAGGTAGAGCCTGTAATTGCTATCAGAAGTTGGAAGAGTGAAAGGCCAAAGAAAGCTGGAGTTGGGGAATAATTCATAGATGAAGTGAGAGTTAAACTGGGAAAGAGAGACAGGAAGAAGGGAGATGGTTTCAGAGGACGGCAGCCATAGCATCAAAGGCCGACACCCAGGAATTGTTTGGTGTGGTTGCTGGCCGGACCTGAGCACGGGTACCACCTGGAGGGTCGTGGAGAGTAGCACATACCGGGCAAGGCTAGCCCAATAGAGGTTTTGAAAACTGGGCAGAAAACAGGCCAGAGAAAAGTTGTTTAAAAAAAAAAAAAGCCAACAAACATGATTGATTTCTTTTTAATGTTAGGATCAAAATAATATGAAAATTAGTCAGTTTAGGTTCCTTTAGCTATTAACATCAGACTTTAGAAACGTTTTATGGTTTTGTCTGCAAAGACTCTGTTGACTCAGAATTCATCTCAGTGTGAGTCGAATCCCTTGTCACAGGTTTTAGCAACTATACCATTTTGTCACCTTTCAAGGAGCTTATGTTCCATCCAGTACAGAGTGGTTGGCCAACGGCAACTCTGAGACCCATCTGTGCTGCTTCCACCCTTTCTCTTGATTGCTTCTAGAAAATGTGTACCAGTTGCAGCTCTGAACTGCAGAAGATACCGTAGAGTTGAAATGGCCTGCAAGTGGGTTGGGGGGCGGACAGTTTCAGCACTTCCACTACCTTGTAATGAGAGGGTTACATTAGGATCATTCGATCAGAGAAACAACCTAGTTCTTGAGCACTTAGTTCAGTGCTCCGTGGAAATCAAAAAGGCAGTAAGAACAAGGTTTGTCGGTAGAGCTAAGAAAGTGGAGCCCGGCGGCTGCTGCGTTTAGATCAAGGGTCTGAGGACACTCACACTAAACAGAGATGACAGGAGACTTATTAGCATAATGGACTGAAACAAAACCACCATCCAGATTTGGTGCCCAAGGGGAAGTGGAATCTCCGTGGGACCAAGACCAGTTGTTGTGCGTTATGTCTGCCCTTGGAAACGTCACTGAACTTGGGTAAAGGAAATGATGCATTCCCCGAGCACTCTAAATCTTGAATCTCTGAACCTCAGGATAGCATCTGTTCTTTTTGCAATATTTCCGTAAAGCTTGGAAAGTAGCCAGAATCGTGAGAGCTTTTATGTAAAATAAGTATCTGTCCAGATAGGGTAGAAAGACTAGGTGACCGCTAAACCGTATAATGAAGTGAAAGAAAGCTCTGTGGCTGATTTGAAAAAGGTCTGTTGTTGATGATCTCTTCAGGTGGTACAGAAAAGATCTTGAAGTAATTCTTTTTGATTTTCTTATGAAATACATTTCATTAATTTGCAAACTTTTATTGACACTTCCCTTGAGCTCAGCTATTTTTTTAAGAGACCTAGATACAAAGGAGAATAAAATATGGTGCAACCCCAGACAACCTGGGAAGATGATGGAATTGCGAGATATTTACTCAAGATAAATGAGTAGGGTAAAATACCTCTCCCAACCCTATTGGAGAAGCCCTGAGATAGACGTTCTGTGCTATATAGGAACTATGTTCAGGATTTTCACTAAGTCAACAATAATTATTTTGCTTTTTCCCTAAATGATCATTTCACATTAAAGTTACTTCAGAAGTTGCTGCTTGTGAATAATTTGAAATTAAGGGTTTAAGCATTGTTCATTGTACTTTTTTCATTGCACAAATAACGCATTAAGACCTCCATTAATTCTTTAATTACTAGTCTCTTATAGTTACATAAGCATACCCATTCACAGATATATTTTTTTGAGGGATTTTTTCCCCCCCACCTCATAGCTATCTAGAACTTTCCCCCTGGTGTTTTGAGGAACTTATGAATGAGTCTTCATTATAGTAGAACTAAAATATTGATTCTGTATTCTCTGTGTGAAAGATGATTCTGTTGGTTTGCTCTCAGTAGAACGTGAGTTGTTTTCTCAGTGGTGGTGATGAATTTGCACTAAGTAACCATCTTCCCTCACTGGGATTCCCTATAACAATTGGATGAATTTACAAGATGGCTAATCAGCATTAGAAGTGCAATCTGTGACTGAAAAGCAAAAAAGAGCGAAATTGACTGGTCTAGACAGGGAACAAAGCAATAAGCTTAACCCAATTAGCAAGGCATTCTAACCAGTGGAACTAACCAGCTACACTGAGAAGCTGTCCTCTGCATTTCCTGAGTAGGAAGTGATTAAGGCACATATTCCATTTAGAACGTGTGCTCACATATCTTGTCTCAGCTGCAAACACGTTCATGTAAATCTGTATCTTCGTTCTCTTTCATTCTTTTTCATAAATTGAGATATAATTCACTTACCATAAAATTCACTTTTTTTGTAGTGGTTTTTAGAATAGTCCCAAAGTTGCACAACCATCACCACTAATTCCAGGACATTTTCATCACCGGCGAAAGAAATCCCATATCTGCTGCCTCCTTCCCCCAGCCCTTGGTACTTACTACGCTTCAGTTCTTTTTATTATCTTTATTTTTGCTAAGCGTTTTAATCAAGCTTCAAGTTCTTTTTCTCAACAAGTAGCATTTGGCTGACTCACTCCAACTTCCTCATGCATGTGTGACTCAACCCAAGTCATTTCTTCCAAGTCTTCAATTTTTATTCTACTTGACTCTGGTGTTTGTTTTACTCTATTGGCTTGGCCAAAAGGTTTATTCGGGTTTTTCCTGTAACGTCTTATGGAAAAACCTGGATGAACTTTTTGGCCAACCCAATATAAGTCCTCTATTTTTTGAACGTTACTTAGATCCTTTCAAAAGAAAACACACACACAGAGACATAAAACAGCACACAAAAGTTTGTCTTTTCAAGACGAACTTCTTTGGGGATGGCTTCATTTTTAATGTCTTTACCAGAAAAATCTTTCAACTGTGTGTCCTAGAGTTTAATTTCTGTGGAAAGTCTGTGATCGCAGAGATTGTCCTCTTTTCCTATAAATGTGCGAGCTGCTTCCACACTTAACTCACTAAATAATCTCATTTGTGTGTGTCTTTCAGAATGCAGCTCTTCAGCATCTGTTTATTCGGAAGTCCTTCCGGCCTTTTAAATGTTTGCAGTGTGGGAAGGCCTTCCGTGAAAAGGACAAACTGGACCAACACTTGCGCTTCCATGGGCGGGAGGGGAGCTGCCCACTGACCTGTGACCTCTGTAACAAGGGCTTCATCAGCAGTGCGTCCTTGGAGAGCCACATGAAGCTCCACTCGGACCAGAAGACTTACTCTTGCATTTTTTGCCCAGAATCCTTTGACCGCCTTGATTTGTTGAAAGATCACGTGGCCATTCATATCAGTGATGGCTACTTCACCTGCCCAACTTGTAAGAAACGGTTCCCAGATTTTATCCAGGTGAGTGTCTGCTACCGCGATGCCTGAACACTTCCTCTTTTAGGTAAAAGAAACTTCGAGTTTTGGAAGATTGAGACAGCCTGTCATCTGCCTTTCCATTCCTTCTTTGCAGCATCTTCTCAGTTGAGCATGATATTTCTTCAGTCAACCTACTTTTGATAAGCAAAAGGTTACTATGACCCTTAATTGTCCAAATAAGACATTGGCATTTAAACATTTAAGTTGTATTACAAGTAATAAACACCCAGATCTGGTTATAATCTTTAAAAAGTCTTTCTTAATCCTTGCCAATACCCACTACTCATAAAATATATGGTGCTTGTAGAAGACATACTCCCATTTCCTGCCCTGGAAACATTTTCTCCCCATCACTTTGGTTTCCTGTCTTGTGCTACTAAGGTGATGCATTTTGGAAGGAAACAAAGAGAAAGCTGGTATATAACATACTGTTTTTTTTTAACTTTTTATTATATATTGGAGTATAGTTGGTTAACAGTGTTGTGTTAGTTTCAGGTGTACAGCAAAGTGACTCAGTTATATAGATACATGTATCTATCCTTTTTCAAATTCTTTTCCCATTTAGGTTGTTACGTAATATTGAGCAGAGTTCCCTGTGCTCTACAGTAGGTCCTTGTTGATTATCCATTTTATTTATTTATTTTTGGCTGCGTTGGGTCTTCGTTGCTGCGCTCAGGCTTTCTCTAGTTGCGGCAAGCTAGGGCTATTCTTCATTGCAGTGTGCGGGCTTCTCATTGTGGTGGCTTCTCTTGTTGCGGAGCACTGGCTCTAGGCACGTGGGCTCAGTAGTTGTGGCACACAGGCTCAGTAGTTGTGGCTCTCGGGCGCAGGCTCAGTAGTTGTGGCGCACGGGCTTAGTTGCTCCGTGGCATGTGGGATCTTCCTGGACCGGGGATCGAACCCGTGTACCCTGCATTGGCAGGCGGATTCTTAACCACTGGGCCACCAGGGAAGCTCAGGTTATCCATTTTAAATATAGCAGTGTGTACATGTCAATCCCAAACTCCCAGTCTATCCCTCCCACCTGCCGCCTTCCCCCTGGTAACCATAAGTTCGTTCTCTAAGTCTGTGAGTCTGTTTCTGTTTTGTAAATAAGTTCATTTGTATCTTTTTTTTTAAGATTCTGCATATAAGTGATTTCTCTTTCTCTGACTTACTTCATTCAGTATGACAACCTCTAGATCCATCCATGTTGCTGCAAATGGTGTTATTTCATTCTTTTTAATGGCTGAGTACTATTCCATTGTATATATGTACCACACCTCCTTTATCCATTCCTCTGTCAATAGACATTTAGGTTGCTTCTGTGTTTTGGCTATAATATACTTCTGTATTAAGCACTGACCTCCTCCCCTGTATTATATTCTGGAGCAAAATGGGGTGAGGATAAATTCCAGAATATTCATGATTTCATTTGGACTTCAAGTGTTAATATTGTTACATGCTAGTGAATGAACAAGTAAGTCTAAATATCTAGTAAAAATATTGTGTCTCCCTCTTTTTTTTTTAAAATTACCAAAGCAAAAGGAGACTAGGATTTAATCATAGTTCTGTTAGTGTTGGGAGTCTTGGTAATTTTCTCACTTTACACAAACAATTAGAGAAGTTGCCTTAAGGTGGAATTTAATGGCACAAGAGACTCCAAAAATAATGAAGGAAAATGTCTTGCAGGAGTGGTTTGATATGACTCACTACTTAGCTCCCATCCATAACTCTTCTTTGCTGGGTATTTATGGCAAAGAGAGTTCAGAGGCCATATTCCTTTGTTTAAGTTATCTAAAAGTATAGGGAAGAAGTCCCAGTTAAGGGGAAATGATGCTGGTGTTGTGCTGTTCTCATATATGGGTAATGTGTTTTCTCCCGTCTAATTCATGTCTTTAATTCTTCAGAACCTGATTTGATAGAAAGATGTAAAAGGACCAGTTACTACAAGGGGCTAAGTTGCTTCTATACATGTTGGAAGCAGGAAAAAGTGAGAAGGAATTATGTTTTGTTCTCTTATAGGTACTTTTTACCAAGATTCATTTAAATCCAAGGGAACTCTTGCTTTTAATCTTAAAAAAAAAAAAAAGGAAAGAAAAATGGGTTGCACGTGATCAGGGCTTGGACTAGGCGAACATTTTCTTCTTCCTCTTCAAGTTCTGTGGGAGGTCGAGGTTGGTAAGGCTTTCTGGCCTCTGTGATGGGGATAGTGTTACCGAGGCCCGTTATCAGTCACACCTGATTGGCCCCCAGGCCAGGCTGATGAAGATCCACGGCACAGCGTTTGGCTCCCTCTAGCGTCGCTGAGCTGCCTTTGGTCATTTCCCCTGACTTTCTGTGTCCTCACTGCCAGGTGAAAAAACACGTGCGAAGCTTCCACTCGGAAAAGATCTACCAGTGTACGGAGTGCGACAAGGCCTTCTGCCGCCCCGACAAGCTGCGGCTGCATATGCTCCGGCACTCAGACCGTAAGGACTTCCTGTGTTCTACGTGTGGGAAGCAGTTTAAGGTAGGAAGCAGCAAGCAGCCTGGGTGTTCTCGGGCCACTGAAACTGACAAGCTGAGGATGAGCCTGCGCATTTCATGGGTGTGTCATCTATGCTCAAGGAACAGACTTGAGATGTACTTTGTGCCTCATGTTTGACTTACTTGTTAAGATAAAATTAAGGGGAAAACTCACCTTAATTTCCCAAAATAATTAATTCAAATCCCCAAACAGAGTACTAATGCATCTTTTACAAGAATCCAAGTGTATAATGAATAGAACTAAACTGCTATCGAGGAACTCCTAAGAGGACAATACATTTACCCACCAAATTTTTTACTGAGCACTTATTAAGTGTAGGAGCCTGATAATTGAGCCCTGGGGCATGAGGACTGTCATCCAACAGAGGTGGGAAATCTGTGGGATGTTGAGAGCGCTTAGACTATTTTGGGGAATGTTAATGACTTACAGGATTAAGATAAAAAATAATAAGTATCAGAAATGGGCCTGGAATTTAGAAGAAAGCAACGGACAAACCCACGGGAGACTCAGAGATAAGAGTTAAACAAATGAATGTGAAAATGGTAAAATATGGTTCGTGGGGAAACCAGATGATTCTGCAAAGATGTCCCTGAGAGACACTCTGCAGAATATGAGTAGGTCATGCTGTCATAGAAACTGGAAAAGAATCCGAAATGGATTCAGGAGGGGAGAACTAATTTTAAAAGGAGGCATTTGTGTAGAGTGTGGAGCTGGTGGGGATGCCTGGCATTGCACCTCTGAACTTAGCATGGTTCCAGATACACGGTGGTCATTCAAGAAATGTTTGTTAATAAATGTGCTGAAAAATGAAGTAGTTACAGAAACATCCTCGTACCAAAATGTGGAAAGAACTGGTCTGGTAGAAAGGTTCAAAATCTTTCTAAGACCGATAGCAGTGTAATCGTATGTCCAGGAGCAGAGCCTCACTGGATAAGGGAGCTGGCATTTTTGGAATTTGTTTTTATTCAGGATGGGCTCTGCTTCATTTTCTGTCTGTGGACTCACATCAACATGTATCACTAGAAGATTAGATTATCAGACTAAGAGCTGTGACCTAGACCGTGTGCCCCATCCATAGCAGGCAGTAACTGCTTACTTGAACTGCTAAATTTATATGATGAGAGATACTTACTTAAATTCATTTGGGATTTAGAGGAATGTCATTATGTGTGTTAAAACATGTGGTAATTGAGGACACACATGGCTTTGTAAATCCAGTATTACCTACCATCCATTATCAGTTTGTCTTGTAGTTCTTTTTTTTTTTTTTTTAAACTTTTTGGCTGCACTGCAAGGCATGTGGGATCTCAGTCCCCCCGACGAGGGATGGAACCCGCACCCCCTGCAGTGGAAGTGTGGAGTCTTAACCGCTGGACTGCTAGGGAAGTCCCTGTCTTGTAGTTGTTAATACCAAACTTATTCCACGTGCCCTTTGATCACTTCTACATAAATGCAAAACCTTTCTTCTCAAAAATCATTGTGTAGTTTTCAAACTGGATGGTCATTTTCAAGCAAGGCTCATTGGAATGCACTTACTTGCTAGCGAACAGAGTAATTCCCAGCCAGGGTTGCCGTGTCCTCGGATGTAGTCTGGTGGGTTGCGTTACTGCTAACTTGTATTGATTTTTTTTTTTACCCCTTCAATTAAAAATCTTCTACTCCCACTCCCCACCCCTCTGCCTTCTCAAAAATTCTCTCTAAACAGCGAAAAGACAAACTACGGGAACACATGCAGAGGATGCACAACCCTGAGAGGGAGGCCAAGAAAGCTGACCGCATCAGCCGCTCCAAGACGTTCAAGCCGCGCATCACGTCCACTGACTACGACAGCTTCACGTTCAAGTGCCGCCTGTGCATGATGGGCTTCCGGAGACGAGGCATGCTGGTCAGTGCCAGGCTCCGGACCGCGATGGCACAGTAGTCTGCACTAAACCTGTCACTGGGTTTCGTCCCTGGCCAGGGACAAAGCGGAGGCGAACAGTTCCCAGCCTGGGGCTTCTCTCCCCCCTGGTCACCCCTTGCTGCCTTTGCCATGGTTCATTTCCGGTGTTTCTTGGAAGAGGTCTGTTGATCACTTTTCATTGCTCGGTTTGCTTTGCTTTGCCCCTCTCCGGCTCTGCTCTCCTCTTCCTGTTCTCTTCTGTGTTCCCGAACGTACTCTCTGGCGGGGTCGTTGCCTTGCAGCCCCCCCACACCAGTTGTTCCAGATATGACACAGCAATAGAAGGGAACTTTCCGCCAAGGCAGGGTATGCGAACCGGGTTAGCTGAAGCACCAGGAGAGCTGGGTCTCCGCTCTCAACTCATTGGGCCCTGATGACAGTTTTTGCAGAATATATCTGTATCTCATTCAACGTCCTCGGTAAGGCCAGGGCGCTGAATAATGGAGACACTTGATCAGGAGAATTCTTGAAAGAATTTCCTGCTAGTGTGATTTTCCATTTTTCCACCAGCAGCTCTTTCAGTCAAAGGCTATCGGTGGAATCCACAGCAGCCCAATTCACCTTCAGTGATTTGCTGAATTACTGTTAACTCCTGTTAATGCATCGGTGTCAGAGGGTCCTGGCAGTGCCGGTTCTGGCCAAAGGCCTCACGTTTTGGGGTGTCGCTTCAGAGAGTTTCAGCTGCTTGCACTTGGTATCGGAGGTATTTGTTCAGCGTCTGCTGGTCACGGGGTCTCTTCTTCTCATTTGCTTTTTTTTTCCTTTTAGGTAAATCACTTATCAAAGAGGCACCCAGACATGAAGATAGAAGAGGTGCCAGAGTTAACTCTACCCATCATAAAGCCCAACCGTGACTACTTTTGTCAGTATTGTGATAAGGTAAAAGGAAACTGTCCATAGGAGGATACCTGTGTGGGAGCCCCGCTCAGGGCCAGTTTGTCTGCATGTATATATATATACTAGGATCTTGCAGTTTCTCTTAACAGATGGTTCCCTGTCTCTCAGTAGTCTTCCATTCAGACAAGAAAGGGCTAGGAGTGCAGCCTCATTTTAAGCCAAAATTATTTTCTTAAGAATTAGCGAGCTCTGTTTTTCTTGTTCCTTCTCTCTGTGATTTTTGCCGTTAAAGAAGAAGCTTATTACCAAGAGCTTAGTATATGCATTCATTTTAAATTCCTAAGCTCTAAAATGAGGGTGTTTGTCATCCTACTTGTAAAATACAGAGTAGATTTTGGATTTCTAGGAGATTGAGTAGGATGTGAAAAAGTCTGGTGGTGGAATACTGTTTGTACTATTCCATTCTTGATTTTTGCATAGTTACAAAAAACACAGGAATAGAATATACATGTATTGTTTCATTGTAATATTGTCTCCTTATACGATGTCAGCCGTATCAGTTATAGGCTGTGCATAAGTAGTGTCAACTTAAAAGTAAGAAACATTTTTTAAGCACAGATTCACCACTACAGGTTCTAGTTGCTATTAGACTTGCCATTTTGGAAGATTCTTTGGCATCTAGTAGTCAACTATGTATGTACATCACATGAGAGCTTTCACAGAAAGACTAAAGGGTGAACTGGCCTTGAAAGAAATTGTTTCTATGACTGTATATTCACCTCTTAAACTTCAGGGTAAATGTAAAGGTGTTTTTACTATTCCTATCTTAGATGTATAAATTCAAGGCAGATGCCTCACATATCTATGTTATGTTCTTACGTTATTCTGATTTATGTTATATCCCCATTATCCTTCAGCATATCTGTTAATATATTTTATTTTGGACTACGTGAATACTTTCTCTCATTTCCTCGTGATGAAATTGTTAGATTGCCTTAAGCAAGAAGGTGGACGTATACACTGCTTCCATGGCAAAGCTTTTGAATTTGCAGGTTTATAAAAGTGCCAGTAAGCGAAAAGCCCATATTCTGAAGAACCATCCTGGGGCTGAGCTCCCACCAAGCATTCGGAAACTTCGTCCCGCCGGCCCTGGAGAACCAGACCCCATGCTGAGCACCCACACCCAGCTCACGGGCACTATAGCTACCCCGCCCGTGTGCTGCCCTCACTGCTCCAAACAGTACAGCAGCAAGGTACGGGGAAGGCTTTGGACCACGTCGGAACCAAGGTCATGGTTTAAGGGAACATTGCTTAAGAGAAGATGGTACTTATCCAGATGCCGTGATGGCGTCTTCTGAGTTGATGGGGGTGCTAAAGGAGCTGCTTCCTGAGAACAGGGAGCGTAGCACAGAACGGGAAGGGAATACAGTGGACTTTCCCAGGAATTAGTACCATCTGAGCACTTGAATGGTTTCCTTTGCCCTTGGCCCGAGGTGGGGCTCCGATTTCAATATTCCCTGCTCGTGGTTTATGAGCTCAGGCTTGCAGCAGCACTACATAAGAACTTAAATGATGGTTCTTGAGAAGGGGGTCATTGTTGCTGTGGGGGAATGCAGTCATTGATTGCTGCAGGTATTGGTGGGATCAGGGGATGCTTGCCTGATAGCGTGGGGGGTCACACGAGTCTTTACTTTCTTTCCAGCGTCTTCTTTTTTCCCTTTCATACCATTGTCCCACTTCAGGGAGGGCAGGCAGAGCCAGTGTTACTCTTTTTTTTCTTTTAAACATAACATGAAGGACTATAGGAACCATTGGAGGGCTTGCATTTGAGAAAGATCGAAAATAACCTATTCTAGTAATTCTTCTTGGTTTTCGCCATAACTTTTCAGACCAAGATGGTACAGCACATTCGAAAGAAGCATCCGGAGTACGCCCAGCTACCCAACACCATACACACGCCTCTGACAACAGCCGTGATCAGTGCGGCTCCAGCTGTTTTAACTACAGACAGTGCTACCGGAGAGACGGTGGTGGTAAGTGTGTGACCGGTAAGAGCGACTCCTGTCCTCTGCTGCCCATCACAGCTTCAGTGCCAAGGCCATGTCTGTCTTGGTATTTAATTGGCTGCAGATGTAGCCCACCGCCCTTCAGGGTTCTATACCAGGCGTGATGCTTAACGATGGGGTCTCCCAGTCGGTGCTTTCCAAAGCTCTCTGTAAAAGGAGTAGCAGGAAATTCTCAGTGCTGCTTGTTCACTGCAAGATTGTCAGAACTGGGCCTCCCTGGTGGCGCAGTGGTTAAGAGTCCGTCTGCCGATGCAGGGGACACGGGTTCGTGCCCCGGTCCGGGAAGATCCCACATACCGCGGAGCGGCTGGGCCCATGAGCCATGGCCGCTGAGCCTGCGCGTCTGGAGCCTGTGCTCCACAACGGGAGAGGCCACAGCAGGGAGAGGCCCGCGTACCGCAAAAAAAAAAAAAAGACTGTCAGAACCTCCGGGGTAACTCCTGGGCCTGACACAGACAGACAGCTAGAGGTATGTGGGTAATCTTCCAACATCTTCTTAACTCTGGGTATTTTTGTATCCGAGCTCAGGGCTCATTTGCGGTCCCATGATCCCACCAGTTAGACAAACCAACTGTTTGTAGGATTTCAGAGCACTGAAATAGCCACAAGCAGCAGTGTTATCAGCTGATGTGCTTTTTTGTGATTTTTGCAGACAACAGACTTGCTAACCCAGGCTATGACGGAACTGTCCCAGACCTTAACGACGGATTACCGAACGCCGCAAGGGGACTACCAGAGAATCCAGTACATTCCCGTGTCGCAGTCTACATCTGGGCTACAGCAGCCTCAGCACATACAGCTTCAAGTGGTGCAGGTGGCCCCGGTACTGTCCTGCGTTTATTTCTCTTTACCTGCGTGAATGCCATATGGCCACCAGCCAACACAGCAGCTGGGGTCAGCTAAAACACCTAATTCTCAGAGCTGGGGCTGGGCCCTACATACTGTGCATGTCAGCTTGGAGTCTAAGGCGTTTGTAAAGCCCTGGCTGTCAAGGGCTCTGGACTCAGCAGTGTAAGAGATTTCTGTCAACAGTATCCAGAGATTTTCGGCTCCAGTGTATACCACTATCCTGCCCTGCTGCAGGCCAGCACTGAGCCGCTTCTGAACCCTTACCCTGGGCACCCAGGTGGACTACTTGGTGAGGAGCCTGTTTGATCAGCCCCTACCCAGGCATCCAATGACGTCTGTCAGTTGGAGGTTGTAAGGAATAATTGTGAATTTTGACTATCGCTTAGTACCTTATTAGTAGCAAGTTATAACTGTTCCTTCTACAAGGTAATTAATACCTCATTCTTACTGATTCAGGAGCTAGAAGAAAAAAGTCCTCCCAGAACTATTGTTTCATTGAATTATACTAAGGAAATGTACTCAAGGCACACATAAACAAACGTTTTGCTTTGAAATAAATTGGACTCTGAAAATTTAAAACTAATATGAAAGCAGGAAAGAGGAAGTTGCCACTGTCATTGACTATTCTTTATCTTTTTTTTTTTTTTTTTAATAGGAGCGTTCTTAATTTTAGGCTTTGGAGGAATCTATGAATCCCTGAAGTTGTCTGTAAATTATGATATATATGTACATTATTTTAGAAAAAGGGTCTGCACTTTCATCAGATTCTCAGTTGTCTGTGATACATAAAAGGTTAGGAACCACTGTTTTAGTGGTTAAGCGTGACAAGCTGAAAGCGAATTTTCTCCTTTGATCTCTTTTAACTGATAAAGGGTAGGCCATTAAAATTAATTGAAACTTACGGGAAAGAAGATTTTTGATTCCTGAGAGCTTCTCAGTCAGCTTCTTATTAGGAGCTATATTCCCTCATCTCCTCCTCTTCCAGAATGAAATCGCGTTACTGTCTTATGGTTAATAAGCATAATTTTTAAAACTATTTTTTTCCCTGATGCTTGGCAGCTTGGCCCTGGTGTGGGCCCTCCGGGAGTGAGCCCCGGCTCTGAAGCCCTGCCTGTTCTGCTGCTGGGGTGTTGTTTTAGCTACACCTTTTCTCTGGAAGGCTTTCCTTTAACCTTAATCAGCGTGGGTCTGGGTTTCTCCTCCCGCAGGCCACTTCCCCTCACCAGTCCCAGCAGTCCACGGTGGACGTCGCCCAGCTCCACGACCCTCAGACCTACACACAGCATGCCATCCAGGTGCAACACATCCAGGTCACGGAGCCCCCCGCCCCGGCCGCGCCCGCCTCCCAGGTACACTGCTCCCACTGACTGCTCCAGGGACTAGTCTCAGGTTCATGTGGCCTCAGGGACCCTGAAGATGTACTAAGAGCGAAGACATGCAATCTTCACACCTGGTCTCCTTGACTATGGAAATGATATCATTATTTTGCGGGCCTTTAAAGAGTCTCACCTCTGCCTCCAATTTTTCTGTTGGTATTAGGGATGCACTTCCATTAAGTGCTTAGCTTCCCCTGTCCAGATGGAGCCCTGGGCTCTGATCTCGTAGAGACAACATTGGCCTTTGCTTCCTGTTCTAAATGGCTGTATGACAGTCGGCAATTGCTAGGCTGTTTCTATAATTTTGGAACAGTGACTTCGTGGAGTATTACTGTGTTTGTGTGATAGAGACTATCATTGAGATCACAGAGTTACATCCATTCAAAAATGTTTATTAAATTCTTACTCTTTGCAGGAAACTTTTCTAGGTCTTGCCCTCAAGGAGCTTAGAGTCTAGTAGGGATATAACACCTATATATAAGTAAATAGGGCATGAAATGAAGGTATCTGAGCCGTAAAGGATGCCTGTAGACCCACCCCTGACATTCCCATGTTCCACAGCACAAATGAAGGCCTGCATACCACCATCCTGAGTAGTTAAATGTTTCAATCAAGTTCACAAATCATTAAATAAACACGTTCTGTCTTCCCTGCTTGACATAGGTACTTTAATAATGATAAAATTGAAAAATATACATAAAGTAACAATGGCTACTAAATAACATGGATAGTGCCAATTCAAAATTAAATGCATTTTTCTGCCAAACACATGGTTGGCACTGGCAGCGGCCCGGTATGGGTGGGAGGAATGGAGGAGAAAGGATGTCTCTCTCTCTTTTGCTGGCTCCAATTGCTGTGGAATCCATAGGATAAACATGCACTTTCTCTGCCTTCCTATTTATTGGGGGGTGGGGGGAGGCCTGACATCTGATCGCCCCTCCTCTCCACCCCCCAGTAAGGTTTCTGGTGACTTCTCCCAGCCCAGGACAGGCAGCCTCTATCCACAAGGGGCCGTGAGTTTCCCACGCCCACTAGCTTCACACTTCTAAGTTTCTCAAAGGAACCCAAGGCTGGAGGGCCAGGACAGACTCAGTTCCTTGTCAGGATGAGGTGGCCCAGGGACAGCCGTCCCCAAGCCTGCTTCCCCTTTCTCCTCACTCAGGCTCCTTCCTGCACTCACAGGGCCTGTGTACCATGTGGACACCCCATCCCACGTGTCTCAGCTCCATCCACACCCCTGCAAATGGTGATCCACGGCCACCCCTTTGGTCCCAGGTGCCCGAATACCGTGAGGGGGGCCACATCCAGGAGACAGGACCCCTGCAGGAGGCCAAGCCTAGGGAAGAGACTTGTGTGGGTCCCAGAAGTGGGTGCAGGACCATTTCCAAGGTCTGTGAGGCCTCACGTGAGAAGGGCACAGCTGGAGAAGGGCCAGCCAAGATCCCTGCAGGGGTCCCTCTTGCCTGGGTCTGAGGACCACGTGGATGTGCCATTAGGTTAGCGGAGTACAGGTGAGGGAAAGACGGTGTTTAGCAGGGAAGCAAGGACAATTTTGTAGAAGTGGTGTTTGAATTAGGTCTTGAAGGAGGGGTATGGTTTTGATATGGTAGCTGGGGAGGCATTATGATCTGACCACACTCTCACTGTGAGTAAAGACACAGAGGTGGGAAATTGTGGTGTATTTGTAAAGACTGTGTAGGTTAGTGACAGGAGATGGTGTTTGGAAACAGCACCGGAGCTGGAGCGTGGAGGGCCTGAATGGCAGATAGATAGTGGGGCGGGGGCTTTATCCTGTAGGTGGGCTGTATCCCCGTGTTTATCTCCACTAACTGGAGGAGTATCCAGTGCACATCAATGGGGATTCTGACTTCCGGATTCTACTTCAGTTTGTGTTACAGGTTAGCTTTGTGACACCGGCAAGTTATTGGGCTTCTCAGGGTTTTTTTTTAATGTAATGAAGATAATTATACTTTCATTCATTTACTTTTATAACAAGCATTTGGAAATTAAGTTTTTGGATACCCTTGTAGATAATCCTTTGGAAACTAGGATTTCCTAGTTATGATTGCTTGTCATGACTTCTGTTCTTTTTAAAAATATCACTAGTTGAGCAGTGCTCCCTTCAGTGTTACAGTCCTCATGATCACGATGTACTTTCTTCAGTGGCTAGTTGACACTTTAACACATCCTGGTCTCTTTTCTCTCGAGGTGGCAGGGCAGCCGCTGAGCCCCTCCCCGCAGCAGTCTCAGCAGGGGCTCAGCCCCTCCCAGGTTGCAGGCAGCTCCTCGCAGGGCCAGGCCCTCCAGCAGCAGCCCCAGAGCACCACGGTCCAGCACACGTACCTCCCCAATGCCTGGAATTCCTTCCGCGGCTACTGTAAGTGAGGGTGGCCCTCCTGGGTGCGGGTGGGGAACCTGCAGCCACGGGGAGGAATTTCATCAGCTTTATCATCCATTTTATGGCTTAAAGGGTCATTGGCCATTTTCTACACTCTGCAGAACCTGTACTTCAGTGAGTTTCATGGCACAATTCAAGGCGGCGTCTGATTCAGGGCCGCCCTGAAATGACATTTTTCCAAGACTTCAGGAATATTGCTGGAGGAAGTGTAGGCAGGTGGTTTAAGTAATAGAGCAGGTGGATTGAGGGTATGAGGTCACGATTCACCTCTTCCACCAATATTTACTGAATATCACTGTGCTAGACCCTGCATGTACGAAAGATGAATACTGACATTCGTATAAGTAACACAGCACAATAATAATGTTAGCTAACGTTCATCAGGCTCTCACCATGTGCCAGGAGTGATTCTAAACTGCATCTATATCACATCCAGTATTCACAGCAACCTCCTAGGAAAGTACAATCGTTACTTGCATTTTACAGATTAGACAATTTAGACGCAGTGCAACTCGTCCAAGGAACATAGCTACTAAACAGAGGCCTGGAACCCAGGCAGTCTGGCTCCAGAGTTTACACTGTAAACCAGCCCACTGTGCTGCCCCTCCTAACGAGATAGTCATGGGCTCACAGAGACGATGATCTCTTGGAGACAGATATATGAGTAGCTGATTTCAAAACCCTGAGGTTAGTGCTACCAGAAGCAGTTTAGCCTGACTGCCAAAGGTCAAACACGTAAAAAACCTTGGTGAGGACAACAGCCTTGGGTATGAGCTGAAAAGTTTGAGACCCTTATCATTGAAGATCTGGGAGAAACAGTAACAGCTAGAGCTCAATAGTAGGAGCTAGGAGGAATAAGGGCTGTGTTGATCTCTCTCCTACCACTGATTTCTTTTTTTGGGTCCATCTCTGCTGTGATTGGTCTTTGGCTGTGTTATATAGATCTGGTTGTGGAGACCAGGCTCAAAGGCTACCATTTAGTTATCTTTACCATCTATTCTCCTAAATATTGGTGGTCACAATGAGAGCTGAGTCTAGTTTCTGTCAGGGAAGGACTCCTCCTCATGATAAATCCCAGTAGAATCCTGGTAAATAGATAGACATTTATACTCAGTTTAATTCCTATGAGAGGAACGTGGAAATGATGCTGACAGCCACTGTAACAATAGTAAGAACTAGCATTCTAACTTGATGAAACAATCTGAAAATTTTTATTAGGAAAAAAGTTTAAAATATACAAAAATAGGGAATTCCCTGGCGGTCCAGTTGTTAGGAGTCCATGCTTTCACTGCTGAGGGCCTGGGTTCAATACCTGGGGGGGGAACTAAGATCCTGCAAGTTGCGCGGCACGGCCAAAAAAATGTGTGTGTGTGTGTGTGTGTATACACACACACACACACACACACACACAAAATAGAACAGTATAATGAGCGCGCCTGTACCCATTATCCAGCTTCAGCAGTTATCATGGCCAGTCTCATCTGATATGTACATGCTGTCATCCTCTCCCAGTCCTCCAACTATATAATAATTCATACCATTTCATCCATAAATTTTTTTTTCAAAACCCCACAACTCTAAGTGTCGTTATCACACCTAAAAATAAATTACAGTAATTCTTTAATACCATCAAATATCCAGTGTTCATATTTCTGTGATTGTCTCATAAATGTCTTTTTTTAAAAAATATTTTATTTATTTGTTTATTTGGTCGTGCTGGGTCTTAGTTGTGGCATGCAAACTCTTAGTTGCGGCATGTGGGATCTAGTTCCCTGACCAGGGATTGAACCCAGGCCCCCTGCATTGGGAGTGTGGAGTCTTAACCACTGCACCATTGTGGAAGTCCCATAAATATCTTTTTAATAGCTGGTTTTTCAAATTGGGTTCCAAATAAGGGCCATACATTGCAATCGATTTTACCTTTTGAGTTTCTTTTAATACATGTGTTCTTCTCTCTTTTAAGTTGCAATTAACATGTTGAAGAAACTGGGTCATTTGTTTGTAGAGTTCCCCACATTCTGGATTTTGCTGTTGACATACCTGTATTGTCATTTAAAACTTCCTCTGTCCCTTTTATTTCCTATAGATGGGCAGTTAAGCCTAGAGGCTTGATCAGATTCAGGTTCAGTTTTTTTCCCCCAAAACACTCCATAACTGTTGGTGTGTAGTTCCATCGGGAGGCACATAATGCTTTTCTGTCTTTTTCCTTTGCTCCACTATTTCAGTAGGGATTGCAAAGTTGTCATATTCTATCATTCTTTATACACTTATTGCTAGAAAACTTCCATAACGAAAACAATTTTACCTTAACCATCAGGTTACTCTGAGGTACAATTTGTACAGGAACAGCAGAATAGATGCTTTAAATACTCGGCCCATCTCCTTTGTTTAGCAGTTTTCAAAATAATGAGTTGTTTCCTAGTATTATCCAAGGTGACCAATGCCGGGCATGTGTGTTTTAGTATTGCTGGGTACTTATGAATTTCAACCCACTGGATGTGTTTCAAACCACTGTAGTCAGGGCTTCCCTGGTGGCGCAGTGGTTAAGAATCCACCTGCCAATGCGGGGGACAGGGGTTCGAGCCCTGGTCCGGGAAGATCCCACATACCGCGGAGCAACTAAGCCCGTGCGCCACAACTACTGAACCTGTGCTCTAGAGCCCGCGAGCCACAACTACTGAAGCCTGTGCGCCTAGAGCCTGTGCTTCGCAACAAGAGAAACCACTGCAATGAGAAGCCCGTGCACCGCAACGAAGAGTAGCCCCCGCTCGCAGCAACTAGCAAAAGCCCGTGCACAGTAACAAAGACCCAACACAGCCAAATATTAAATAAATAAATAAATAAATAAACCCATTGCAGTCATTATCCTTGTTGATGCTCAGATTATCCCATCTTTGGCTAGTGGGAACACCTTTCTGTATCTTTCCCACATGACTCTGCAGTCTTTTATAGGGTCTTACACGCCGGTATGACACCAGATTCCATGCTCACCTTGTACATTTCTGACCCAGGTTTGGAATCAGCCATTTTCCCAAGAAGTCCTGGTTCCTTTGAGTAGAGGATGTGATTTAGAGGCTGTCAACTGGGTGCTAGGGTGAACTCTGTTTTTAATTAGCTTTAATCACACGGTAGTGAAGTAACATTCATGTTAGACTAAGTTGTGATAGCTAGGCAATAGTGGATACATTGTGCCAGTAATCAAATGTGACCGTAAAAGATAAAAATATTGAGCTAACAGGTGAATCTTTGTAACTTCTCTCAAGGTTTTAAAATTTTTGAATATTTGTCTTTCTGGATATTCAGAAGCCACATTTGAAGGAGATGCATTGATTGTTTCCGACATTCGGTAACTCTCTACTAGCCTCATGTGATCAATTCTTAAGCAGAGGTGCTTTCGCTGTATCAAGAAATCATATCAACATAAGACTCTCAGAGCAGGCAAATCCATGGAAAGTGACTCAGTAGGGAATATGGTCACTGGTTAGGTATTTGTTTCTACAACTTGAATGAAAATCTGAGACCACTGAACTATGGTTCCTTCTTGTTTTTCAGCATCGGAGATTCAGATGATGACGCTCCCCCCGGGTCAGTTTGTGATTACAGACAGTGGCGTGGCAACTCCGGTCACCACTGGCCAAGTGAAGGCGGTGACTCCAGTAAGCTGTGCTGCTTGGAGGGTTTTCCTGTTCCCCACGCTGCACCACCCTCGCCCTCCCCCATCTTCTCCCAAACTCTTCACATCTGAGTTAGAGGCACCCCCCTGTATTCCTATAATTTCTTGTGGTGCTATATTATAGCACAGTTTATTTTTTTTTAATTTTATTTCTTTTTTACTTTTTTCTTTGAAGTGTAGTTGATATACAATGGTGTGCCAATCTCAGCTATACGGCAAAGTGACTCAATTTTATGTATATATACATTCTTTTTTACATTAAAAACTTCTGTATTTTTTAAAATATTCTTTTCTGTTATGGTTTATCCCAGGAGGTTAGATATAGTTCCCTGTGCTATACAGAAGAACCTTGTTGTTTCTCCATTCTAAATGTGATAGTTTGCATCTGCTAACCCCAAACTCTCAGTCTGTCTCTCTCCCTCCCCAGCCCTCTTGGCAACCACAAGTCTGTTCTCTACATCTGTCAGTCTGTTTCTGTTTTGTAGATAGGTTTGTTTGTGCCATATTTTAGATTCCACATGTAAGTGATATCATATGCTATTTGTCTTTCTCTTTCTGACTTACTTCACTTAGTATGATAATCTCTAGTTGCATCCATGTTGCTGCAAATGGCATTATTTCATTCTTTTTTATGGCTGAGTAGTATTCCATTGTATATATGTACCACATCTTCTCCATCCATTCCTCTGTCTATGGACATTTAGGTTGTTTCCATGTCTTGGCTATTGTGAATAGTGCTGCTATGAACATAGGGGTAGCACAGTTTATTTTAATTATTGGTTTACTATCTTTTCCCAGTAGGCAATTAATTCCTTGAAACCTAGGTCTTTGTCTTTATCTTCAGTGCTGTTGCACAGGAGGCTGGGCTATAGCAAATGCTCAATAAAGATCTATTCAATTAATAACTATAATGAACCTCCTAGATCCATATACATATATATATATGTAGATAATCATCTTTTTAATGTGCTTCTTAGAAAGTATATGAGTCTTTGTGACTATTGGTCCTCGATGTTGATTATATCTGCTACCTCTGTTTTTATCTTCACTGGTTTCTTCTGGCCTGCCAGTGTTGATTATATCTGCTACCTCTGTTTTTATCTTCACTGGTTTCAGTGTTGAAACCAGTCAATGTTGATTATATCTGCTACCTCTGTTTTTATCTTCACTGGTTTCCTCTGGCCTGCCAATGTTGTCAATGTTGATTATATCTGCTACCTCTGTTTTTATCTTCACTGGTTTCTTCTGGCCTGCCTCTGGAAGACAGAGTGTGTAAATTAAGAAAAATACTCTTAAGTGACTAGGGATATTGAGATGTTCCCAGGGGAAGACTATTTCCCAAGAGGCCTCAAAGAGTAGCAGGGTAGTCTAGTGGCCTCAGAAACCGGATTTATTTATTTATTTTTCAAAGCACACTGAGAGCTCACCCATTTCTCAGCACATGAATTCACATTAACTAGACTTAGGAGAGATGTATAAATCCAGAGTAACACTATTGTCAATGGAAACAATAACTAATATAAAATGGAATAGTCTCATTGGCATGATCAGTGAAATTTTTTGCTCTTTGTGGGGACTCACTGACTCTACCTTTTCTTGGCCAGGAACCCACTTGGGAAACCGATTATATAGCCAAGGATGTTCCCTTCCATCTGCCACAGTATACATACAAATTTGATGTACAGTTTTGTTTATAGATTCTCTGAAGCCGACCTATGAACTGCCTAGGTGTCCATGGACCCTTGGTTGAGAACCAGCTCCCTCCTGCTAGAGAAGGACCCACACAGGAAACCAAATCCTGATCAAAGAGTGGCTTGATGAGTGTGGACTCAGAACATATGGCCCTCGATAAATCAAATGGGTATTTGGCTGTGGCTTTCTCCCTGGACAGTGCTTGGAAAGGATGCTGCCAGAGTTTTCCTCTGTGACTTCTTTTTTTCTCAGCCTGTGTAGCTGACCAATTCTCCCTCTTACAGACACATTCTTTCTTTAAAAATGTTAATGTAGGGACAGAGTTAGCTGCAGGTCTATGGACATGTTTTTTTCATGATCAGAGGGAAAATGAAGAAAAATTAAGACAACGTATGTTTTCATAAAGTTAAATTTATTCAGTGCAAAAGACTTTTATTCTAAGATTGTGTTCTTCCTATGCTTTTGAGTGTTAAAATGTCCCTCATTTGACAGTAGCATTTAATAAATGATTTTACTTGGCAAAATAAAATTTGGGAACATTTATTCTTACTTTAATTTTGCTGGTCTTTGAAATTCTGAAGTCTGGGAACCACTGATCTTGACTTGGGCATCATTCTGCCTCTTTAAGGAGAATTTAAATATCTCTCCTTTGATCCATTTTGTATTAATCTTAAACATTAATTGACAGATAGTCACCTTATTTTATGAATTTCTAAATTCTCAGGGACAATACCATAGCACATTTCCTTTGCCAGGTAGGTTACCATCATGATGCAAATTTCTGTCCCTGAAGTTCCTCACTGTATCATTTGGTACGACCAAGGTGCTCCCTTAAGTTACCTCTGTAGTCTACTTCTCTAAAGGAATTAGGCAAAGCATCTCCCATAGGCACCTAGTTTGGTTCCCCATGTAACATTTCTTTGCATATTCCTTCTCCCCACCGTGCCCCCATAACTCTACCCCCCACTTTAGCCCTCAGATTTCTAAAGATCTTTTTCTTCCCCCTCTAGGGTCATTATGTGCTATCAGAAAGTCAATCAGAATTGGAGGAAAAGCAAGCTTCTGCTCTCACTGGTGGAGTCCAGGTTCAGCCAACTGCACATGGTGACTTGGACCCCCAGACCACCAGCCAACAGCCCACCCAGTACATCATTACAACCACCACCAACGGGAATGGGAGCAGCGAAGTGCACATCACTAAACCTTAACTTCCATCCTTGAGCCAGAATCAAACAGTCACATCATGTCTTTTCTTATTCATATGTCTGGAACATCTGGAAGCTTCTGACACTTAGAACTCTTTTTTAAGATTTATCACTCAAGAGTTTGGAAATCACAGTTTTGACGCTTATACATACACTGGGGCTTATTTTATCAAGGTCATCTTTACCAAATGGACTCTTCAAACCCTAGGAGTTTCTGCCAAGGAATGGAGATCTTTCAGGGGAAAGTAGATTTCAAGACAGAGGAACCTTGCCTTGCTCTTGAGTTGGTTTTTTAACCCATAGATAAGCCTTACTTTTCCTTTGTGGAAATATTAAGCAGTGTATTGTGTTTGTACCAAAGGTGGATAAAGGATGTGCCAAGTCCATGGCCACTGGACTTGTTGATTCCAAGCCATGGCACCAAAGGCGAAGGTGCATTTTATGGGCGTGTATTAGGTCACAACTGCTTCATCTTGTGAGTTTGCATTCTCAGTAACTTAACAAAGGGAGCCCATTGAATATGAAAATTAAAATGATGAAGCAAAGGTTTCATCAGTGATGGTCTGAAGGAAAAACTGTTACCTAAATTTTTCTTATTGCTGATTTTTAAAAAACTTGCCTTTTTTGGAAAACCGTTGTTGGGCTATTGGTAGTGCTTTCCACAGACCCTGGCCCTCAGTGGACTAGGACTCCCTGTACAAGAAAAGGATGCTTGGTGTCAAGAGAATTTAGACCCCCAGGTTACAGGTTGGCCTCCCATTCTCTGGTTGTACTTGTATGAAGAAGGAGATATTGGAGATGACAGTAGCAAGAAAATGATTGATACTAAAACAACTATATAGAGCGTAAAAAGCACTGAGACCTTGTCCTGCCTTTCAGGATCCATTTACCACTCATTGGTAAAGGGTGAATCCTTGCTCGTACTAGGTGTACCTGCAACCCTCGCTCACAGCATGCAGTGTATTTTAGTACTTCTAATGCTGTCTTAAAATGAACATTCTTTCAGGTTGGATGGAAAGGTGGTCCTCCTTATTGCTTAACACTTTCAACTTTAAATGTATTGCAATTCATCTGGACCTTTTGGTAAGATGACTAACGTCACACCTAGGGGAAAAATAAAAATGTGGGGACCATTTATAATACGTTAGAGTAATTATAAGGGATCTGGAAGGAATCCAATCTTAATATTACATTGTCAGTTGGGAGAGGGAGAAAAACTGCCTCAGTGATAGCTTTTCTTATCATTGTTCCTGTTTGGGAGTCTTATTAGCTATGAATTCAATGGGGAAAATATTTCCCTTCTTTTTACTGTACATTCCAGTTGTGCACATAAAACACTGCAGAAATCAGTATGTAGTTTAACAACTTTTTGTGACATACTAATACATTTTTAGAATAATTATGGCATGGTAGAATTTATCATTCCAGAACAGAAAGACCTACCTTCAGTTTCAAATGAAGTTAAGTAATTTATTTTATTGACATTTCTGGGTAAAAACTGGTTCTATAAATTAAGAAGTATAGTAGCTTCTTTATGGTAAAGATACCTTTTTGAAAAGTAAACAATTCTGTGAAGTAACTTTACTAATATGTAGACTTTGCACTTTATTATTGAGACCTCATTCATTTAGTTATCCCTGACAATTTAGGCACTAAGAGAACTTGAGAGTTACTTGGTAATTGTGTAGAAAATGAAAATGGACTCTATATCTTTGGTAACAGAGGTAATGCTGATGTTTTCAATAGAAAATATTGACTCAGTGTCACAATATAGAGATTTTTGAGTCCCAAAGTCCTACAATGTGATGATTATAAAGATCCTAGTGTCCAGTCTGGAGAGACTTGCTAGGTAAAGCATATTAGACTTTCCCAAAGGTCCAGTTTAGTTTTTATAACTTAAATTTGGTCCTGTTGGTTCCTTTTTAATTTGAACCAGCAAGGTATTTCTCCCGCCCCTCAGGAATAACTTACTGATTAAAATGGAAAACGATCACTGAATGGAATGTTCATTTTATGCCAGTTATTTCAAGTTTTAAAATACACAGAAGAGAAAAAGGACTGCGGAAGGACCTCTGTTTCTTTCCCATCTAAGTTCTTTTTTTTCCCCTTTTGTTTTTTTGTCCTTATGTGGAATACGACTCTAAAACTGATTTGTATATTATCAACCAGAGATGCAGGTGTGGCAGTCAAGCCAAACAACATTGCTTTAAGATCAGGTATTCTGTATATTTATTCTAAGGTAATGGCTTTTCAAAAGGACTTGGATCTGAAGAGATGGCAGATTATAAGCCATCTGAAGACCCAATTTGGAAAAAATGTCTGTAGCCAATGTTTATACTGTGGCCTCGCCTAAGACGCACTGGCACTGTAGACTTGGATCAGTGCAGTGTGAGCATTTTGGAGTAGGTTACATAGAGATTTTACATTTTTACTGTTTCATTTGTGCCCACATAAACAGATATTTCATCCTGTAAAATTCCTGTTATTCCGGAGAAACCTATTGTTTTGATCTTCTGGAATTGTTTTCTGATTTGGAATTATCCTTTCAAAAAACTCTTAAGATATGTAGGGCTAAAAAGCACTTCATGAGATGCTGAAGCTGACCCACAGGTTGAAAATGTTGACCCTATCCTGTTATTTAAATGTGAACATTTACTGTACATTCAGTGAGTTATAGTGTTAATAGTCTTGTGCTACTCAGCAGGTGTAAAAATTAATAAATATTTTTTTTAATAAACATCTTTCTGTTTGTATGTGTACAAGTTACAAGAGCTTCTGAGATCATTACTTTTTTTTAAAAAAATAATGCAACTTACATTGTTTTGACTCTTTGGTTCACTCTGGTGTGGTCAGAGACATAAGGTCAGGGAATTTATGGATGGTAATATGGAATGATGTTCCCCTCCCCTTTTACTTGGTGGTTTCTAATTCGAGACCCCTCCCAACAATCTAACAGGAACTAGGGGCAGGCACTCAGCCAGCTCGGGAAGAGCAATTGGCTTTATTTGGAAACCACTATTTGCCAACCAGGGAGGAACACCAGCTTGACTGACATGTTTCCATTTAGTGGAGAGAACTGAGGATGCTCTCTGCACGACAGGTTGGAAGTAGCTGTGAGAGAAGTTTGAATTGGTTCTAAGTAAAACCTAGTTTATAAGAAGAAAGCGGCCTAGATTCTTAACGAGAGGAAGATTAATCGAGTTTGATTAAGAAAATGTGTTTCTTCGATGTGTGTACTGTCTTTCCGGACGTCGAGGGTCCAGGGACCGGAGAGAGATGGGAGAGAGAAGTGGGGCCACGCCCGGGTGGGTTGCAGGGCACAGGCTCTGTTTCGCGTTCTCCTCAACGAAACTCGAGAAATCGCAAAATGGGAACTAATAGTGCACACAGCTGTGGTACAAAGACAACGATGGAAAGTGCTCAGCCTAGTGCCTGGAGCAGGCTATGAGATATGCAAACGTTAGCTAGTAAAACGGCATTCACTCACTCATGGGCTCGGGAGCCTCAATTCGCGGCCAGGTGACTAGCGACACCACCCTCCGGAAGCTTCTAAGCCAGGTGAGACCAACGAGACGCCAGCAAACTGCATCCCAAGGCCCAGCCCCGCGAGCTCACGCCTCTCTAGGTTAGGCCCCGCGAGCCCCGCCCCTCCCCGCCCCCGGCACTTCCAGGCCCCGCCCCATGAAGCTCAGGCCCCGCCCCCAAGCCCCGCCCCTTCCGCCGCCCGAGCCCGGAGCGTGCGCGCACCGAGACGCCTTGCGGGAGCGAGCGCGTCAGGGAACCCGCGGGCCGAGAAGCGCAGCGGGTTCGGAGACCAGCGCCCGCGGCGCGGGTAAGGCCGGGCCGGGGCGGTGAAAGGGTTAAAGTGTTGCCGGGGAGCGGAGGGAGGGAGCGAGCGAGAGTCTGGGCCTTCGAGGGTCGCTGCTCCTGTGGGCACGGGACAGGGGAGCGGGCGTGTCGGGAGGCGGGTGGCCCGGGTGGGTGGGGGTTAGAGTTAGGCACGGTGTTGGGGGAGGGGCTGTGGGCGCGGAGGTGCGGTTTAGCGGGGCGGGACCCGGGCCTCGGGCTTGTGAGAGGCCGGCTAGGGAGGGGTTTGCAGTTTGGAGCCGGCGGTTGCTCCGGAAGGAGTCTGGGGTTTGGCTTCTGAGTTGGGGAGGGTCCAGGAGGGAAGGTTATCCCAGGTGCAGAGGAAAGGCCGTTGGGAGAGGCCTATCCCGGTCTAGTAAAGACGGACCTCTTTGGTCCAGGACGCCGCAAGACTTAGAAGTCCTTGGCTTCCGGTTTTCAGCCCTTTGGAAGCTGCCTGCTTTTTGTATTTTGAGATCCTCTTCAGAATAGTAGCAGGGCACAGGTTGCCACTCGAATAGATTAAATTTAGCTACACGTTCACTAATTGAACTGAATTGAAGTGAACCTTATTGAAGAAACTAGCTTCACTAATTGAAGTGAAGCTAATTGAAGAAACTTGTGAGCAAGTTGTGAAACAGGTGATCCTCCTGAGAGTCAGGTAAAACACTGGCTTTGCAGCTCTTACCCTCTTCTGTGCCAGTTCTGGCTATAAAGAGGACTTTATTCTGAGCATCAGGTCGCATCTACACTTCTTTTCTTTTTAAAAGTTTTGTTAAATGCAAATGCCATGTGCTTTCTTACCTGCAGTCAGTTATTTAGGCACCAGGGGTGTTCAGGATGCGGTAGTTCATCATGTGCTGAAGGGTGACGGGACACAGTTGCTTGGTGACAACGCAGCTGCTTTGAACACTAATCTTTCCACTGTACCTTTACGTAGATCTGACATCTCTTCCAGATAACTTGAAATAATTAGCGCAAACGTGCTTATTTTAGTAGTAGTATTACAAGTCTACTCTTTATCATTTGAGAGTTTCAGGATGAGAAGTCATTACATGACTACGTGAAGTTATATAAATGCATCCACCTGGAGGTTATTCATTGCAGGATTCCAGGATTGGAAATAACAGTAGAGAGGACTGGGTCCAGTTCTCCTTCATCTTATATAGATAAGGAAATTGACAGCCTGTGAGGTAAGATTTGCCCAAAGTCACTGAGATGAGGCTAGGAGTTTGGTGTTTTATCTGTTAAATCTGTTGTGTGTGTGTTTTTTTTTTCTCCTTTCTATTTGGTAGAAATCAGAGAGAGAGAATGGTTTTAGCAAATGTTTGTGGAGTGGTTGAATTCAGCCTCCCTGTGGCCCTGTTAACTGTGGCTTCAGCTGTGCACCTGATTCCAGCCATCAGCCTTATGAGATGCTCTCTGAAAAAGTTTTCCTATGTACTTTTCTAAAGGTAGCCAGCAGTGTTTATTTGTTGCAGGAAGGAGAAAAATAGCATTTCATCTACATGGTTATAAGTATCAGCTGGACCAACTAAAGTGGGTTGGCCGCTGACTTTGCTGGCTGTCCTGGTCAGGTGCTTGGATCCTACAGAGTTTATGCGGACTGATAAAGTCATATTAAGATGCTTGCTTTTCCTGATTTAAACTGAGAGTTTATCCAGGAGGTATTGTATGTAGTGTTAAGAACATGGGTTTGCAGTCATGCAGACTTGAGTTTCAGTCCTACCTCTGGGGTTGGGCAAGTTGCTTATCTATTTTGATCCTAGGTTTTAGTATCTGTGGAGTAGATGTAATAACCCTATCTTGCACACTTACAAGAATTAAATCAGGTGTATGAAAGGCCTGGCACTTAACAGGCCCTCATTAAATAACTTAGTGTTACTGTCTGAATTTTACTACTCTGTGGATTTTCAGTGAAATTTCTTTTGTGAAGGAACAACAGCTAAAAAAAATAATAAATTATATTGGAGTGAGAGATTATTGGCCTGGGAAGTCTAAATTATGGACCGTGATCTAGTTATTTAGTCGTTGAGTCTCACTGTGCTCCTGTGTAAAATGGAGGTGTAAGAAATTCTATAAATTGGGGAGTCACTGTAGAAGTATTCTGAGTAATGAGAGACCTACTGGCTAAGATCTGAAATTCAGATGAGGATGCAATGGTGGAAGGGAGGGAGAAGAGCTGTTTAGCTGTCGTTAGGGTGTATGGATAAGGTAGAATAGATTTGAGATTGAATATTTTCTGGGCCAGAATATTTTGTGAAAGAGCGTTGGTATCAGCAGATCCCTGGGACTTCTGCCTTTCTGTCTCGAGGTCTGACTGCATATATTTGTCTAGGCTACCCGTGGAACATAAGCAATGGATTCCTTGGACCATATGCTGACGGATCCCTTGGAGCTGGGCCCGTGTGGAGATGGCCACGGCACGCGGATCATGGAGGACTGCCTCCTGGGGGGCACTAGGGTTAGTCTGCCCGAGGACCTTCTGGAGGATGTGAGTAGTGACAGCGGCACCATCTTTTTCTTTCTAGCAGTTCCTCTCAGCCTTTTCCACACTCTGCAAGTTTTCAGTCTTTTGTGCTCCCTTCTTTCTGATTTTCTACATTGCAACCAGAGTGATCTTCTTTTATTTTTAAGTTTAAGTCTGTTTAATAGTCTGATTAAGGAAGAAAGTATAAGCTACATTCTGCATGTTTAGTAACATGTAACTCTATAATGACATAAGCCATATTTTGACAAGATAATTTTCAGCAGTTAGCAAAAGTTTTATATTTAAGGGCAGAATTGTGTATATCTTTACATTAGAATGTTTACCCATGTTGTGAATCATGAAACAAAACGCAAACATATTGTCTCTCTCCATAATAAGGTAACCAACTTGCTAGTCAGTTAATAGTACCTTCCCTGGGATAGCATTAATAGTGTGCTTTTGACCACTTTTCACAGGCAGTCGTCATGATATTATGGTGGCATTTATTTAGTGCTTATTATGTGCAAGGCACTAGGTATGCTGAAACGTGTTTATCATCTTGTTTATTTTGCCATAGTTCAAACATATGGACAGGCGTAGAGTATCATATGGCGAACATCTGTGCATCATTCAGTTTGGGGAGATAATTTCATTTAGTTATATTTGGTTCAGATTTTTCTTTCATGATGTGTCAAAAATTGTAGATAAAATTAAAGCCACCATTTTGCCCTTATTCCCTCTCCTACCCGAAGTAACAGGTACTGAACTTGGTGTATTATCTTGCCCATTCATGTTTTCTTTGCATGCTCTTTCAAGTAAACCTCTTCATGTCATTCATTCAGCCAGCAAACACTTGTTTTATTGAAATACCTACTTTATGCCAGAAACTGAGCTGCCAGGAATCAAGTGGTATGCAGAAACAGGTTTGCAGGGGGAGATCTTGGCCAGGGAGCCAGAGGAGCTTTGGTGCCTGCTTGCTGAGACGCCTGGCAGGTGGCTGGTTTCTGGGTTCTCTCCTGCTTAAACCCTTCGGTGGCTCCCCATTGTCCTTAGGATAAGGTCACAAGTACTTGACATGCTTATAGGTCCCTTGCTCCTCTCTCTGCTGTCTGCTGCTTCCCTTTCCTTCCCTGTTGTTGAGCTAGCCAGACGTTGCCTGAACTCTTTTTTATTTCATTTATTTATTTTTAAAAATATTTATTTATTTATTTGGCTTCATCGGGTCTTAGTGGTGGCACACAGGACCTTTGTTTCAGCATGTAGGCTCTTTTGTTGTGGTGCACGGGCTCTAGAACGGGCAGGCTCAGTAGTTGCAGCACGTGGGCTTAGTTGTCTTGTAGCACGTGGGATCTTAGTTCCCCGACCAGGGACTGAACTTGAGCCCCGGCAGTGAAGTCCTAACCACTGGACCATCAGGGAATTCCCAAAAGATCTCTCAAGTTTTTTTTGTTTTTTTTTTTTAAGTTTATTTATTTGTTTATTTTATTTTTGGCTGCGTTCGGTGTTTGTTGCTGTGCGTGGGCTTTCTCTAGCTGTGGCGAGCGGGAGCTGCTCTTCCTTATGGAGTGCGGGCTTCTCATTGCAGTGGCTTCTCTTGTTGTGGAGCATGGGCTCTAGGCATGCGGGCTCAGTAGTTGTGGCTTGCAGGCTCTAGAGTGCAGGCTCAGTAGTTGTGGCGTGCGGGCTTAGTTGCTCCGCAACATGTGGGATCTTCCCAGGCCAGGGCTCGAACCCGTGTCCCCTGCATTTTCAGGTGGATTCCTAAGCACTGTGCCACCAGGGAGGCCCTGACCTCTCAAGTTTTGAGAATTGAGTAAAGATCAGAGGAATTTTAGTTTGTTTAAAAAATGTAAAAACTTGGATGACGGTGATTTTTGCACAACTTTGTGATTGTACTTAATGCCACTGAACCATACACTCAAAAATGGACAAAATGGTAGATTTTATGTTATGCATGTGTTATCCACTTATGCACAAAAAACTTAAAAACTTCATTTTTATTCTTGCTCACTTTTCCTCCTGCTTTTCCTGATTCTCCCAGCCCGAGATCTTCTTTGACGTAGTCAGCTTCTCAACGTGGCAGGAAGTACTGAGCGCCTCGCAGCGCGAGCACCTCCAGCAGTTTCTGCCCCGCTTTCCTGAGGACAGTACTGAGCAGCAGGATGAGCTCATCCTCGCCCTGTTCCGTGGGGAGAACTTCCGCTTCGGAAACCCTCTGCACATCGCCCAGAAGCTTTTCCGAGGTGTGTAGCTCAGCATTCTTGTTTTGAGAGGACTGGAGGGTGGGAACACACCCACTTCTGTGCATACTCCTTTCTTCGTTTTATTCTATTTTTATGTATAGACACTGACTCCAAGTACTTTCATGTAACACTTTGCTGCCTAGGCCGTTCTTTTTTTTTTTTTTTAATAAAAATTTTTAACTTACATAGGAAACATATAAATCATAATTGTAATGCTCATTGATGTGTTATATGAACTCAGCTGTGTAACCACCACCCAGATCGAGAAGTAAAACATTATTAGCATCTTAGAGGCACCCTTTATGACTAGTCTTCAAAAACTATTAAAAACAGTTTACCATTTGGTTTATCACATGCATGTATGTGTGTGTGACACACATACACATATTTTTTCTGCAGAAAACCTGACACTTTACCACCAAGCACCTCAGCGTGTATGTATCTCTTAGCAAAGACATCCTTCCACATAATCACAGTCTTAAATTCACCCCCAAGGAACTTTACATTGAACAAGTAATAGCCTAGAATATCCCATATTCAGATTATCTCAGTTGTTCCCAATGTCAGTTGGCCTTTATTTATTTATTTTTAACATCTTTATTGGGGTATAATTGCTTTACAATGGTGTGTTACTTTCTGCTTTCTAACAAAGTGAATCAGTTATACATACACATATGTTCCCATTATCTCTTCCCTCTTGCATCTCCCTCCCTCCCACCCTCCCTATCCCACCCCTCTAGGTGGTCACAAAGCACCGAGCTGATCTCCCTGTGCCATGCAGCTGCTTCCCACTAGCTATCTACCTTACGTTTGGTAGTGTATATATGTCCATGCCACTCTCGCTTTGTCACAGCTTACCCTTCCCCCTTCCCATATCCTCAAGTCCATTCTCTAGTAGGTCTGTGTCTTTATTCCTGTCTTACCCCTGGGTTCTTCATGACATTTTTTTTTTCTTAAATTCCATATATATGTGTTAGCATACGGTATTTGTCTTTCTCTTTCTGACTTACTTCACTCTGCATGACAGACTCTCGGTCTATCCACCTCATTACAAATAGCTCAATTTCGTTTCTTTTTATGGCTGGGTAATACTCCATTGTATATATGTGTCACATCTTCATCCATTCATCCGATGATGGGCACTTAGGTTGTTTCCATCTCCGGGCTATTGTAAATAGAGCTGCAATGAACATTTTGGTACATGACTCTTTGAATTATGGTTTTCTCAGGGTATATGCCCAGTAGTGGGATTGCTGGGTCATATGGTAGTTCTATTTGTAGTTTTTTAAGGAACCTCCATACTGTTCTCCATAGTGGCTGTACCAATTCACACCCCCACCAGCAGTGCAAGAGTGTTCCCTTTTCTCCACACCCTCTCCAGCATTTATTGTTTCTAGATTTTTTGATCATGGCCATTCTGACTGGTGTGAGATGATATGTCATTGTAGTTTTGACTTGCATTTCTCTAATGATTAATGATGTTGAGCATTCTTTCATGTGTTTGTTGGCAATCTGTATATCTTCTTTGGAGAAATGTCTGTTTAGGTCTTCTGCCCATTTTTGGATTGGGTTGTTTGTTTTTTTGATATTGAGCTGCATGAGCTGCTTGTAAATTTTGGAGATTAATCCTTTGTCAGTTGCTTCATTTGCAAATATTTTCTCCCATTCTGAGGGTTGTCTTTTCATCTTGTTTATGGTTTCATTTGCTGTGCAAAAGCTTTTAAGCTTCATTGGGTCCTATTTGTTTATTTTTGTTTTTATTTCAGTTTCTCTAGGAGGTGGGTCAAAAAGGATCTTGCTGTGATTTATGTCATAGAGTGTTCTGCCTATGTTTTCCTGTAAGAGTTTGATAGTGTCTGGCCTTACATTTAGGTCTTTAATCCATTTTGAGTTTATTTTTGTGTATGGTGTTAGGGAGTGTTCTAATTTCATACTTTTACATGTAGCTGTCCAGTTTTCCCAGCACCACTCAGTTGGCTTTTAAATAGTTGGCTTTTAAATCCAGGATCCACTCAAGATTCATGTGTTGTGTTGTGTTGGGATCTTCTGTCTCTCAGCTCCCTGAATCTAGGGCCCTCTGCCTTTTTTTCCTTGTCTTTCAAAATACACTTGTGAAGAGCCCAGGACACTTGAATTGTAAAATGTCTTGCTTTCTGGGGAGTTGTCGTCTTGCTTCGTCATAATTAGTTTTGGGTTAAACATTTTGCCAAGAAAGGAGATGGGAAATGTCATTTCTTTCTCATGCCTCCACTCAGGGGATATGTGATGTCAGTCTTGCATTGTTGGTAGGGAGGCTTTTGATCACTTGGCTCTGTGGTATCTGCCAGAGCTACTGACTGTAAGGGCACCTTTTTCCCCCTATAATTAAGAAGCAATCTGTAGGGTGATATTTAGGGTGATATTTAGGGACCATGTGATAATCTTATTTTCCAAAAGCATTTGTTTTACCCAGCGGTTTTAGCATCCACTGACCCTTGCCTGAACCGGTCATTACATTGGGGATTCCAGAATGGTTTGGGGCCACTCTTCAGTCACAGTTTGCTCTCTGTCCAGTGGAGAGGAGGAGAGGATGCTTCTTCCCTTCCCACTTTCTGGGGTGACTTTGCTTTGGCTGGAGGCCCTGAAAGATAGCACATCTTGAGTTTGTGAAACTGGACAGCTTGACAGCTGCAAAAAGACTGGAGGGAATAAGCTTATCATTTCAAACCGCATTATCTTAAGGTTTAAAATGAGCATTCCCTCCTTTGGTGGATCATTAAGGAGGATTTCCCTTCTGGTTGGCCAGTGTTTTATGTCGCTGAAGCCAGGGTCTCAGGTGGGATAAGCTGGTAGGCCTGGTTGGTAGTAGAGGCCGTATCAGGGACTGTGTGTAACGCTGGAACGTTTCCTTCCAAAACAATGTGATGGTCAGGTAAGGATGCAAACGAGGAATGCAAGACAGGAGTTCTGCGATGTCTGGTGTCATGTTTCAGGTCCCGCAGTGATGAGGACAGTTGGGTTACCACGGTTATTGTGGTTATGTGTCTTGACTGAGCTGGCATTGCTTTCAGTGCGCTTTTATTTTTGCTTATCTTTTCTGGTTCTGTTTTAAAAACTCACCTTTTCCATAAGTTCCAAGTGCTTGTCGAGCTCCCTTGACTTCTGTTTCCTCCAGGAAAGAGTCGTCATGAGCTTCAGCTTCCCACTTCCAGCCTCCCCCCAGCACACTGTAGTCGTTTTCCTCCTGACCTACTTTTGCTTGTCTCAGAGGAAGGATATTTTCCGTCTGTTTAAGATTAACCTCTGCTCTTGATCCTCTCATGTTTTACGTCCTCCAGGACCTCGTTTCTCAGTGAACCGTTCTACCATGTGTACTTACTCCACTCCTTTTTCAGCCTGTAGATGTGGTCATGGGTCTCACACTAAAAGAGTCCTTAGCCATCTGTCCCCTTCATCATCCTCTGTCATTTTCCCTTTTCTCCGAACTTCCTGAAAGGCATCCACAGCTGCCGTCCGCTGGTGGCTGTTCCCTATGCCTGCCAACACCTTCGGCTTTCTAAACCTACAGAAAAGTTACAAGAATTTATAGTTGACACCCGCATACTCCTTACCAGGTTCACCAACTATGAATATTTTGCCACATTTTTTTTCTTGTCAATATTGTACTTATTACCACTATTTTTATTTTTGCTGGACCATTTGAGAGTATTGCAGACCTAAGACTCCTGATTTTTCAGCATTCATCTTTGAAGAACAAGAACATTCTCTTAAGTAACCAGAACTGATCAAATTCAGAAATATAGAAAATACTGTATTTAATTTAAATTCTGTACTTAAATTCTGTGTTTCAGTATAAAATTTAACAGTGACATATTGTTATCTAACGTGTGGTCCGTATTCCTATTTTGCTAGTTGTTTCAGTGCTTGCTTCTTCCTCTGCTCCATTTCTTTTCAGTGAATGTGTAATTTGCAAACCAGCATATGGCTTTTCTCTTCTCCCCTTAACCCGTCTGTAGCATTTGATGCCTTGATCTCCATCGTGAGACTCCCCCGCTTTGCATCTGCGGCCCTCCCCGTCCTGGCTTTCTCCTGTGCCTCAGACACCCGCCCTGCACCCCTCTCTCTGCTGAGCCCTCATCCGCTCGCTATTCCTGCCTCTGCTCCTGCCGTTAGGCCCCCTCTCCCTCCCCGCCTGCCTGCTCTCACCCACCAGCTCTTCTCTGGGGGCTCTCGCCAGGGCTGCTCTAGCCACCATCTCCACACAGCCACCAGCGTGAGCATCTCAAAACTTTGCTTTTCAGAGTGTTTACCAATTGCCTTCACTTGGAATAAAATTCACAGCCTACCAGGCTCTGTTGCCCCCGGTTTACCGACTTCTCTTGGTGCTGCAGTCTCTCTTGCCGCTGCTCTCTGGCCCAGCGCCGCCAATAGAAATGTTACGTGAGCCACACGTTCAATTAAAAAATTTCCAGTACCGGGGCTTCCCTGGTGGTGCAGTGGTTGAGAGTCCGCCTGCCGAAGCAGGGGATGCGGGTTTGTGCCCAGTCGGGGAGGATCCCACATGCTGCGGAGCGGCTGGGCCCGTGAGCCATGGCTGCTGAGCCTGCGCGTCCGGAGCCTGTGCTCCGCAACGGGAGAGGCCACAGCAGTGAGAGGCCCACGTACCTTAGGAAAAAAAAAAAAAATTTCCAGTACCCACATTAAGAATAGTAAAAGCAGTTTAATTTTAATAATATATTTTCTTTAAGTTGATGTACTCAAAATGTTATTTATTTTTTAAAATAAATTTATTTATTTAATTTATTTATTTTTGGCTGCATTGGGTCTTCATTGCTGCACACGGGCTTTCTCTAGTTGCAGCGAGCGGGGGCTACTCTTCGTTGCGGTGCATGGGCTTCTCATTGTGGTGGCTTGTCTTGTGGCAGAGCATGGGCTCTAGGCACGTGGGCTTCAGTAGTTGTGGCACGAGGGCTCAGTAGTTGTGGCTCACGGGCTCTAGTGCGCAGGCTCAGTAGTGTGGTGCACAGGCTTAGCTGCTCTGTGGCATGTGGGATCTTCCTGGATCAGGGCTTGAACCCATGTCCCGTGCACTAGCAGGCGGATTCTTAACCACTGCGCCACCAGAAAGTCCCTTGAAAATTTTTTTTTTTTTTTTGCGGTACGCGGGCCTCTCACCGCTGTGGCCTCTCCCACTGCAGAGCACAGGCTCCGGACGCTCAGGCCCAGTGTCCATGGCCCACGGGCCCAGCCGCTCTGCGGCACGTGGGATCCCCCCAGACTGGGGCACGAACCCGTGTCCCCTGCATCGGCAGGCGGGCCTCAACCACTGCGCCACCAGGGAAGCCCTCAAAATGTTATTTTAATAGAGCATTTGGCTATCTTGGTGAGGGAAACTAAAGACTGAAGGAAGGTAACTTTGGAGAAGTACAGAGGCAAAGAAGTAGAATTTTCATCCAATTTCTATATATCAGCATCAGTAGCATTGAACTCTTGCCTCTTTTCTTGAAGGTCAAATTCCTTATTTCCCTGCAACAGGCAGTGTAACGCGGTGGCTAGGAGCGGCTCTGGAGTTGGACTGCCTGGGTTCAGGCCCGATTTCCCCTTTTATTAGCTGTGTAACCTTGCGCAAGGTATTTAGTTTCTCCATGCTTCAGGCTCTTCAGTAAAATGAGGATGCAGTAGTACCTTCTTGGTGGGGTGGTTGTGAAGATGAAGTGAGTTAATATATGCACGGCCCTCCTTATATGGTGACAGTTCCATGTCAGGTCCTGTTCTAAGTGTTTGCTGTTATTTGTTACCTCGGAATATCATTAAAGTGGTTGGAATTAAAAAAAAAAAAAAAGAAACGCCGTGTACTTCAATGCCTCATTTTAGCCTTCTGAGGTTAGCTTTTCCATCTTTCCCCTTAGTTCACTTTGTAGCAGCCTGCTCAAATCTAATATTCCAAAACGGACCTCTGCCATCGCGGCTCCCGCAACGGTACGAGTTGCTCGTGTCCAGTGATCTAGGTACCATGCTTGCCTTCCTGCCCCAGCATCCAAACGAACAGCAGGTCTAATCTTTCTCCCTCGAAATATATCTGAAGTCTTTCTACTGCAGTTCACATAACCACTGCTCACTCATCAGCTAATATGTGCCAGCCATTCTTCAAGGTTCTGGAGATACAGTCATGACCTTACATTCTACTAGGGGAAAACAAGGTAATAGACAAGCAAGTGTTTGTTGGTATCACGCACTATAAAGAGTGAGGAAGGGTAATGGGACTGGAAGTGACGGAAAGGATCTGGTTCAGAGGTGGTAGTTGGGCAGGGCTTCTCTGTGGAGGTGCGTTTGGACAGAGACTCAATGAAGGTGCGACGAGCAAGCCGTGAAGTACTGGGTGTTAGTAGGAAGCCTTGCAGGCAGAGGGGACTTGAAGGACAAAGGCTTTGCGAAAAGTACGGTACTTCAGGAAACAGCGTGGGCTGCGGCAGAGTGAGCAAAAGGGAGCCTGGTGGAGGATGAGGCCGAGATACGTGGGACCCACAGGGAAGGGCCCTGCAGGCCTCCTGGCCCCTTGGCTCTACCCTGGGTATGGAGGGAGAGGTCCGACCGGGCCACTGTCGTCCCTCTCCTCAATGACTGCAGTGGTTTTCTTCTTCCTCTTTTGCTCTCGGCCGTGTTATTCTCCTGCTTTAAACCCTTCAGCTGATTTCCACTACACTCAGGACAAAGTCCAGACTGTGCTGTGGTTTCTGTGTGGTGTGACGTCTGCCCAGTTTCACAGGTCATCTCGGCCCCTCCTCAGCTAAGTCCCTCTGCTTTCCTCACACCAACATTTCTTCAGGGGTTGGAGTGGGCACATTCTTCCTTGCTTCAGGGCCTGCCTTAGCACATGCTGTTCCTTCTGCCTTTTCCCTATTTTTATTTTAAAAATTCCTACTTGCTTAATTTTCCTCCCAATAAGTTTTTTAAACATATAGAAAAGTTGATAACCAATACGTATGATGCACATCCGTAAAACTTACCTGTGTTTATCAGTTGTTAGCGTCTTCCCACAGTTGCTGTGATCGGGCCTCATTTCATGTCGCCTTCCTTAGGGGCTCTTTTCCTGATGTCACTCTTCGCTCTCTTTGGTTGTTTTAGGTTGGTTTCCTGGCAGCACGTCAGAGAGTCGAGTACTGGCTTACGTGCTTTCTGTCTCTCCCCCTGGACCGTAGGCTCCCCTTTCCCCACACTATCCTCCCATCAGTGCAGAGCTGGCCGCCTCTCCAGCCCTCGCTGATGGGTGGCTGACAGATATGCATGGCTGTGCCTGTTCTTTGCAGACGGACACTTCAACCCTGAGGTGGTCAAGTATAGGCAGCTGTGCTTCCGGTCGCAGTACAAACGCTACCTCAGCTCCCAGCAGCAGTACTTCCACCGGCTGCTGAAGCAGATCCTGGCCTCGCGGAGTGTAAGTGCCCCTGGGAGCTGCGTGGGACTCACACCTGGTGACCCAGAGGGGCGGATCAGGGGCAAGCACAAAAGATACCACTGAGGAAGGAAACTGCCCATCAAGCCCCGACACGACCAAGTGCATCCTTCCTTCTCATGATACGTTTTAAGATGCATCCTGATTTCAGATACGTTAGAACAGGAACAAAAGAAGGATACATCTTAAAATTGATGAAATATTGTAGCTTCTGTATTTACCCAGAAAAAGAGGCAGCTTTCAGATCCATGGTGGGTCGTGCAGGAGAAGCAGCTTGCACTCAGGTTCATGTTCGGGTGCCTGATGGGTGCCAGGCTCAGCGGCTCTGGGTCTGGACCAGCCTTGGGATGCCTTGGGGCAGAGTAGTTCTGGCTCTTAGTGGTTCTTTAAGCTTCGGTTTGGAGATACTTCGGGGTCTGGTGTAAGTGTTCATCCTCGATGGAGCAGCACAGCACTCAGATTGGGGATTTTCCATCACAATCAGCACAGGCCCCTTTTATTTGGAAGGAGGGAGCTGAGCTTGCTAACAAAGAAGAGAAGAAAGCGTAGACTCAGGGAGCGTGTCAGGACAAGCTGTGGCTGAGGCCGTGCCCCCATCCCATCCGATCTCTCCCAGGATCTCCTGGAGATGGCCCGGCGAAGCGGTCCCACCCTCCCCTCGCGGCAGAAGCGCCCCTCACCATCCCGCACCCCCGAGGAGCGGGAGTGGCGCACCCAGCAGCGCTACCTGAAGGTCCTGCGGGAAGTGAAGGAGGAGTGTGGGGACTCGGCCCTGTCATCGGACGAGGAGGGTATGTGTCCTCCGTGCCCCGCACCATCTGTATCTCATCGGTCCGCCCCTGCAGTTGCTTCTCTGGTTGGAGGCCGTGGTAGCCATTTCCCCATGAGGAAGCCATCCCTGTGGTTTTTCTGGGCGCGTGGTGACGCTCAGAGCTGTTGGGTGGCTGTGACTGCACACCTCGCCGCCCTTGACGCTCAGGCACACGCGGGGCCCTCCCGGCAGGTGCTCTGGTCCAGTCGGCTGCTCAAGAGAACCACTGTCCCCGCAGGAGAGTAATAGTGACTGTGACCTCTGCAGTGTGACCCGCCACTGTTGAAGTCTCTCCTCCCGGAAGAGCCGTTGCGCTGACTCAAGTCTGCAGTCCGTCTGGGGAAGGGTCAGGAAGCAGTGGTGGAGCCTGGCCTCCCTCTTGTTGGCTTAGCCTTCTTGAGCCCAGAGAGCCACTTACCCTGTCTCCTCTGCTGGAGTCCACAGGCAGGTTGGATTTACAAGAAAACTTTTCTTTTGCAGATCTCAGCTCGTGGCTCCCGAGCTCTCCAGCACGCTCTCCTAGCCCTGCGGTGCCCCTCAGGGTGGTGCCCACGCTTTCCACCACGGACATGAAGACTGCAGGTGAGTGGGGCTCGGCGTGGATCTGAGGACTGCCTTGGGGTGGGAGACTGGGTTCTGCCTGCCAGGAAAGCAGAGCGGTGTTCCTTAGACTGAGGAGACCTGGGGAAGCTTTCGTGTAGCTCCACTTCTCTGCAGGTAGGTAGGCCAGCTGGCCTTCTGTCCTTTGTTTTGAAAATTTCTCTTAGGAGCTGACCAGCTGGCATTTTGGCCTCAAGAAAGCAGAATCTTAAAATAACAGTATCAGGATTTCCCTGGCGGTCCAGTGGTTAAGACTCCACGCTTCCACTGCAGGGTCTCGGGTTCGGTCCCTGGTTGGGGAACTAAGATCCCACATGCTGCCCAGCGCAGCCCCAAAACAAACAAAAACAACAATCAAAAAAAACCCCCAAAATAATACTAAGGGATAATTCAATAATAGAACAAAAGGGGTAACCAGAGGCACAGCAGTTTCTTGGCATGTCTGTGAAATTAGAGACTATTTTTAGTTGGGATAGGAGTCAAAGAAGAATGTTCAGAAACTTCTAGGTGTTTTAGGAGCAGCTGAGTACCGAGGTCGTTGTTATTGACGAGTGTACAGAAAAGCTGCAGAGTTGAGCCTGTGACTGTTTCAAGATTGTTGGTACTTGAAGTACACAGGTCAGGAGGGAAGCTCAGAAAATATCTTACTTTCAAACATTACCAGTGACCAGAAATGCATTTGAGCATTGTGGAAGTGAATGACCGTCCATGTGGTTTGGTTCCTTTTCTCTCAGATAAAATAGAACTGGGGGACAGTGACCTGAAGATAATGCTAAAGAAGCACCATGAGAAGCGGAAACACCAACCAGTAAGATTGGAGGGGTGGTCAGTAGGTTTTCAGTCTGATTCCCCGGATCAGCTATCCTGGGATGATACGGGGAGTCACTACGTTATTAGTCCCCTTTCCTTATCCTCGTTAGGGGACAGGAGCAGCATGGGAGGCCCAGTAACACTGAAGATGTGTGGAGAAGACAGATGCTTTGACTTTATAAGGCACGCTTACTGCCGTGTCTGATCCAGTCTTTAGGACGACACTGCTGTGTGAATCCTTTCGTCCGTTTAGCAGGGCTTGGAGAGGCCAGGGAGCTTGTCTGACGCCCAACGGCCAGTAAGTGGCAGAGCCAAGCGTCAGAGCCTGTGCTTTTCCCAGGTTTTACGTTTCTGTTCCTTCGCTCCACCAAATGGAGGTAACACTGAGCCAGAGATCATGGTGGAGGAAGGAAAGTCAGTTCATCAAGGCAGAGTGGTGAGCTGGGAAGAGTCTTATGTTGGGGTTAGAACCGAGTTCTGTCTCTCTCTTTTCCACTTACTATGATGTCGGGCAAATCCCTTAACTTCTCTGAATCCCGTTTTCAGTCTTTGTAAAATACCACTTAGCAAGACTGTTTGAAGAGCATATAAGATAAGGAACGCAAAAGAGCTTTATAAACTAAATGCCACACATGAAGGATTGGAACTCAGTTCTCCCCTGCCCCATTATGAAGAGCAATAGTTTTTATCTCTGTACGTTTTAAATTCAACACAATTTCCTCAAGTACACGTAACATCTAGTTTTATCTGTAAATTGGGAAAATCAGCAGTTTTAGCTCCTCTTTTGGACCTCTATAACAAATCTCTGAATATCACGTCTAGGATCACCCAGACCTTTTGACGGGGGACCTGACTCTCAATGACATCATGACTCGAGTAAATGCCGGCAGGAAGGGCTCTCTAGCAGGTAAGTGACGTCCTCTGTAGGTGGCCATCGACTGTGGTGTTAGATTACACAGGCCTCTCTACATATTGCAAAAGGAAAGGAAACCACAGCATCCTTCTTGCTGAGAGCCTTTATGTCGTTATTGCCGCTTATGGATTTGTAGGTGGAGAGTGAATATAAAATCAGTACAATGGATCATTGACTCTTTAAAGCACTCATTGAGTTTGTTTTAAAAAAAAAATCAAAACGAAACTATATGTCTTATTACTGAGACTTTTCTTTCTTTTGCTGGTGGGCCTTGGGAAAATAATATACAGATAAGACTCCTCATTTCCTGATGTAGAAAATGCAGTTCTATGACTTGAGTTACTTTTTTTCCCCAGCACTATATGACTTGGCTGTCCTTAAAAAAAAGGTTAAGGAGAAAGAGGAAAGGAAGAAGAAGAAAATAAAACTGATCAAATCAGAGGCAGAGGATCTGGCGGAACCCCTAAGCGGTACTGAAGGTCTCCCACCCCTCTCACAGGCACCGTCTCCACTGGCCATACCCGCTATTAAGGAGGAGTAAGTGAGCAGCGGGGGTCATGGCTCAGGGCTGTCCCCAGAGCTGGTGCTTCTTGAGAGCCCTAGGTCCCAGGGGCCCTGCTGGGGAACGTGTATGGTGTGGGCTTTCGCTGAGCTTTTTATGACGGCTGGGAGGCTTGGAGGACCTAAAGCAACCTAGGCATGTGTTCTTGGTTGTTTCGGTGGTTCTTTTTTTTTTTTAATTTATTTATTTTTGACTGCATTAGGTCTTTGTTGCTGCGCGTGGGCTTTCTCTAGTTGCGGCGACCGGGGGCTACTCTTCCTTGCAGTGCGCGGGCTTCTCATTGCGGTGGCTTCTCTTGTTGTGCAGCACAGGCTCTAAGTGCACAGGCGTCAGTAGTTGTGGCGCACGGGCTCAGTAGTTATGGCTTGCGGGCTCTAGAGCGCAGGCTCAGTAGCTGTGGCGCACGGGCTTAGTTGCTCCACGGCATGTGGGATCTTCCAGGACCAGGGCTTGAACCCGTGTCCCCTGCATTGGCAGGCGGATTCTTAAACCACTAGGCCACCAGGGAAGCCCTTTTCGGTGGTTCTTATATTTCTCTTCCCTCATTAGGCCTCTCGAAGACCTCAAGCCTTGCCTTGGAATCAATGAAATATCTTCCAGCTTCTTCTCTCTTCTCTTGGAGATCTTGTTGCTGGAGGGGCAGGCTAGCCTTCCTATGGTAAGAATTTTGGAAAAGCCAAGTGTGTAGCAGTTTCAGATTGTAGAAATCTTCAGCTCTGGGTTCCCCGCGAAGCTCCACAGCTGACTTGCTTTGTGACCTGAGCAGACTGGACAGACATAGCCAGTTTGTTCTGGCACAGCCTTGGAATCGCTGGTGTGGAATAGAAATCTAACCGGGTTCTGCCTTTACTCTCCCTCAGCTAGAGGAGCGAGTTTTGGACTGGCAGTCATCTCCAGCCAGCTCCCTCAATAGCTGGTTCTCTGCGGCCCCCAACTGGGCAGAGTTGGTGTTACCAGCCCTGCAGTATCTTGCTGGAGAAAGCCGTGGTAAGGTACTTTGTTCTGTAGGGCCCGGTATGTACCCCGCTTTGTCTAATTCTCGTAGTAGACTGCAGCTTTACTGGCTACATCCGTTGTGGCTTTGCATGATGCGATGCCATGCCTTGGAGGTCTCTGCTGTCCTGATACACCATTAACATACAGAAGTTATCTCGGAGCTCGGGGGTGGCAGTTATTCTGAGTTTAGTGATCTCTCTGACCTGTGTGGCTTGTTCATGGGATCCATTTCTTGCAGCTGTACCTTCCAGCTTCTCTCCATTTGTTGGCTTCAAAGAGAAAACCCAGCAGTGGAAGTTGCTTGGTGAGTAATGCACGTCACCTACCTGTCATAGTAGGTTCTCTTTCTCTTGTTTTCTCCCCGAGCTTCTTGTGCCTTCCAGTCAGTGTGTGCCAGGAGAATGTTGAAAAAGGCAATATTAAACCTTATTTTGCTCAAGTAAAAGTGTCCTTCTAGAAATTCTCAGGGTCTGAGTTCACCCCCGTTGGAGTTGGCTGCGGTGGCATTTGCCCTTCAGTTCCGCTGCACTCGGGCTGGCTGAATTAAAATCTCTGGGATGTTTTACAATAGCACCTTCATTTATGTCAACCATATCTGTGGTTTTAGGTTAATTTCTAGTAATATGATTGTTTTTCTTTCCTAAAATGGGTTTTGCTATTGAGGATAACGTGTTGGGCAGCCCTCAGTAAGCTACTTCTAAAGAACAGGTTCTTTTTCTTATAAATTTGTGAAGTTCCACTTACTGTGTAAGTTGTAGTAACGTGTACCTGAAATAACTTGGTGATGAGAGGAAGATTCAGTGTTGATTTCCTGTGGAAATGGACAAACCTTTCTCCACTCTGTCCAGTGGTCTATGAAGAGAAACATGGAGAGAAGGTTGTGGAATTAGTGGATGCGTTCATTGCTTGCAACATGGATTAACCTTCTAGGTGTCAGGCACTGTTAGGTGCCGGGGGTGAGGTAGTGGTTTGTGAGGTAGACAGCGTGCTCCCCTCGTGGAATTTGTTTGGGGAACAAATACTCATTCGAATGAAATGACAAACTTAGCCATTCTGTAAGGGAAAAGTGCCGGTAGGGGTGGGCGTTTGTAAGGAGGCATGGGTGTGGCATGCGTGTGGAGTCCCGGAGGGCCTTCCTGGGGAAGGTCATTTGAGCAGCGGTCTTAACAACGACTAGGGATGAGCCAGGCAGGCGGAGGGAGGCGGCTCCCCATGGGGGGAGCCGTGTGGGTCAGTGACTCAGGGATGGTTCCCGCGGAGATCACACAGGCCTGCTCATAGAGGATGTTGCACCTGGGTAGAGAGGATGCATGAATTTGGGAGCTTTAGGTGGTAAAAGCCGGAGGATGTGGTTGTGGGTTGGGTGTGGCGAGTGAAGGAGGAGGGCAGTCAGGTGTCACTTCTGCTAGATTTGTACCTGGCGGATGGGGGTCCGCCATCGACGTAGGCAGCTGGGGAGGACGTCCAGGCCTGGGTGAGGGTGAGGCGCGTGAGTGTAGTTGTGCACATGCTGCCTTGAGCTGCCTTTGGGGTGTTGAAATGGACATGTTAAGTAGGCAGTGGGTTTAGAGTCCAGACCCACAGTCAGGGTAGAAAGCTGTGGGCACATGTGCAGTAAGCGAAGTCAAAGGCATGGGGAGAATGAGGAGGAAAGAGGGCCTGGGGCTAAGCCTTGATAAGCTCCGAGGTGGCGGAGGCTGAGTGGGGACACGGGAGAGGCAGTGACCGCAGAGTCAGGCGGAAGTTGTGAGGTCCGAGAGTCAGGAGGTGGGGAGTGGTCATTAACCTTCATTGTTCCTAAGGTTCAGGAAGGTCAAGACTGGATTTGTGGACATGAAAGAAATGATGGCTCCCTTGGAGGAGTGATTCCTTAGTGGGGTGATGCCGGTTGCGGGCAGAGGTGAGCTGAGGCCGCTCGTGAGGCTGGCTGCAGCTCTTCCCGCCTGTCCGGCTGGTGGCGGAGGATCGGCCGGGGGAGGCTGCCCTAATAGGACCAGGTAATAAGTGTCTCAGGCCTGTGGGGCAGATGCTTTCTGCTGTGGCTACTCAACTCTGCCCTGTGCACAGCAGCCAGAGACAGGGTGTAAACAAATGACCACAAAACTGTGTTTCCAGAAGTGGTTTGCTGATCTTCACGTACACCGCAGAGGTCTGCACGTGCTACCGATCAGGCCCCCTTTCCTGCAGGCAGGAAAACGTTTCCCAGTCCCCCTGGTTAAAGGGACAGTGAGTGTGGACAGCGCTTTCTAGAGGTTTGGTGGTGGAGGGGAGCAGAGGAAGCGGGGCTCGTGGCCAGGAGAGGACTTAAGTGTCGGTGGAGAGGGACAGGAGAGGAGGGGACACCTGTCATAGGGTGAATTCCTGGGGGCAGGGGCCGGCCTCAGGTGGCAGGAGGCAGCACATCTTTCCGGGTGGAGGAGGAGCCGTGGCTGCTGGGTCGCGCCGTGGGGAGTTGAGGGGATGGGTCTGTGGCCTTCCTGTGGGAGATGGGAGGCCTGCTGTGCGCGGGAAGGGTGGTGGAGAAGGGGGGGGCAGTTGCTGTCCAGCGGGCAGGGAGGCCGGCTAGTGCGGGGCTCGCGGGCAGATTGAGGGCCAGTGACGGTGGCTGTCCGCTCATTGATAGAGGTGTTCTCTGCCTGTCTCTGGGCCTTGTCTCCGGCAGCCGGCAGCTGCCCGAGTGGAGAGTATGGCTGGTTTAGGACGTGAGCTTTGCTCGACGGAAGTGATGCAGAGATGGAAGGGACAGGTGTTAGGTATTGCTGTGTTGCTCGGCTTGTCGTTGAAGTGACGGGCGTGGGCCCTCGCCGAGTGGGGGAAGTGTGAAGGGAGGGGCTGAGGGGGCCGGAAAGTGGGATGTCTGGACCAGCAGTGCGGTGGAGTCCAGGTAACGTTTTGGTGGGCGAGGGTAGACAGCGGGGAGGGGAGGGGAGGGGAGGCAGCTGCGGCCAGAGAGCAGGATGCGGGGTTAGTTGAAGGTTCCCAGTCCTGGCCGTGTGCTGCCGCCAGTTGGGAAGCTTTTTAAAAACGCTGGTACCTGGGCCTTACCCACAGGGGTTCTGATTGATTGGTTGAGTGGGGCCCAAGCCTTGGCATTTTTAAAAGTTTCCAGGTGATTCTTAGGCGTAGCCAGGGTTGAGAAACTGGATTAGGCATTTTGAAGAGTCCCGTTTGGGGGAATGACAAGGTCCAGTTGTGATAGTGGGAATGAGAGGCTGGAGTCGGGGGAGGAGGCCCTGAGGTCACGCGACTGAGGAGTTAGGGTGCTGGCTGGACTGTCCATACGGATGTCCATCCGGACCCTTCAAGTTAATCCAGCAAGGTGAGTGTTTAATCCCTTCCAGTTAATTTCAAGGTAATTTCTGTGAGTGGTGTCAGACAGGGGTCCAGTTTCATTCTGCCTGTGGATGTCCAGGCAGAGGGGTATTCTGTGTACAGGACCATCGCTGTAGGTCCAGATGTAGATACAGCAAGTAAGGAGGAAGTGGCATCCTTAGGTCATATCCTTAGATCATATTACTATTTTTTGCCTTTTTGTTCTAATAGGCCAGTCCCAAGATAATGAAAAGGAGTTAGCTGCACTCTTCCAGCTGTGGCTGGAAACTAAAGACCAGGCCTTCTGTAAGGTATGGTTGTTGAGAACTACCAGCTTTCTCGTGCTGGGCTTCTAGAACCCTGAGTTAGCCAAAATCCTTCAGTCCATTTACCTGTTACTGCTTTCCTTTTCTCCAGCAAGAAAATGAAGACAGCTCAGATGCCACAACGCCTGTTCCTCGGGTGTGAGTATAGTACCCTAACGGAGGATGGTGCCCCAAGAAAGCATCATCTCAGTACTGCCCTGGTTGTGCTGACACATCCTTGTATGTTAGAGCCAGAGTGGGCTTGAGATGCCGGGATCCACTGGTCCTTATCTGCCTCAGCCTCGCTAAGAGGCAGCACGCTCCCAGCAGTGGAAGTGTTTTCCCCATGAGTCTCTGAGGAGGTGGGATCCACCTGTAGGTGCATGCTTTTCCCCGGTCCCCCCTTCAGTTCCCGCTGGAGAATGGGCTATCCAGCCCATCTTCCTCATTTTACCTACAAAGAAAGGGAGGTGTGAGGGTAGGTGACAGGACCCAGGCTGGGATTTAGGTCTCGACCTCGTCCTGAGCCTTTGTATCTCTCATGTGACTGTTTCCAGTCTGTCATGGTCCCTTTTCTTTCTCCCCAGCTTTGTAGAGATATAATTGACAAAGCATGGTGTAAGTTTAAGGTGTACGGTGTATTGATTTTATTTATATATATATATATACACACACACATATATGTACATATATATAGTGAAGTGATTACCACAGTAAGGGTAGTTAACCCATCCGTCACCTTACATAATTACCAGTTCTTTTTTTGTAGTGAAAACATTTAAGATCTTTCTTAGCAACATTCAAGTATATGATGCAGTATTGTTGACTGTAGTCACCATGCTATTTGTTAGATCCGTAGAACTTTCTATAACTTTAACCAGTGTCTCCCCATTTCCCCCATCCCCTGGTAACTGCCATTCTAGGCTCTGTTTCTGTGAGTTACGCTTCTTTTAGGTTCCATGTGTAAGTGAGATCATACAGTGTTTGTCTTTCACTGACTTATTTCAGTAAGCATAATACCCTCTAGATCCATCCATGTTGTTGCAAATGGCAGAATTTCCTACATTTTTTAATGACTGAATAACATTCCGCTGTGTGTGTGTGTGTGTGTGTGTGTGTGTGTGTGTGTGTGTGTGTACACACACACATTTTGTTTATCCATTCATCCATTGGTGGACACTTATCTCTCACAGTTGTTTCCACGTCTTGGCTATTGTAAATAATGTAGTGAATATGGGGGTACAGATATCTCTCTGAGATAGTGGTTTCATTTCCTTTGGAAATATTCCCAGAGGTAAGATTGCTGGATCATGTGGTAGTTCTGTTTTCAGTTTTCTGAGGAACGTCCATACTACTTTCCCTAACGGCTACACCAGTTTGCATTCCCACCATAGTGCACAAGGGTTTCCTTTTCTCTGCATCCTCGCCAACACTTGTTATTTCTTGTCTTTCTGGTAATAGGTACTCCAGTGGATGTGAAGTGATCTTTCATTGTGGTTTTGATTTGTATTTCCTTGATGATTAGTGATGTTGAGCACCTTTTCGTGTACCTGTTGGTCATTTGTGTATCTTTAGAAAAATGTCTGTTCAGGTCCTTTGCCCGTTTTTTAATTGGATTATTTGGGTAGTTTGCTTTTGAGTTGTAGGAGTTCCTTAAATATTTTGGATATTAACCTCTTACATGTATGTTTTGCAAATATTTTCTGCTATTCTGTAGGTTGCCTTTTCATTTTGTTGATGGTTTTCTTTGCATAGAAGCTTTTTTTAAAAAATAAATTTATTTAATTTTTGGCTGCGTTGGGTCTTCATTGTTGTGCACAGGCTTTCTCTAGTTGCGGCGAGTGGGGGCTACTCTTTGTTGCAGTGCACAGGCTTCTCGTTGCGGTGGCTTCTCTTGTTGTGGAGCACGGGCTCTAGGCACACGGGCTTCAGTAGTTGTGGCACACAGGCTCAGTGTTGTGGCTTGCGGGCTCTAGAGCGCAGGCTCAGTAGTTGTGACGCATGGGCTTAGCTGCCCCGAGGCATGTGGGATCTTCCTGGACCAGGGCTTGAATCCGTGTCCCCTGCATTGGCAGGTGAATTCTTAGCCGCTCTGTCACCAGAGAAGGCCCCTGTACAGAAGCTTTTCTTTGAGGTAGTCCTACTTGTTTATTTTTGCTTTTGTTGCTTGTGCTTTTGGTGTCATCTCCAAAAAATCATTGCCAAGATCATTGTGCAGGAGCTTCTTCCCGATATTTTCTTCTAGGAGGTTTAGTTTCAGGTGTTACGTTGAAGTGTAATCCATTTCAAGTTAATTTTTGTGAATGGTTTAAGGTAGGGGCCCAGTTTCATTCTTTTGCTTGTGGTTGTCCAGTTTTCCCAGCATTGTTTATTGAAGAGGCTGTTCTTTCCTCATTGAGTATTCTTGGCTCCATTTGCCAAGTATTAGTTGACCATATATGCAGTGGTTTATTTCTTGGCTCTCAGTTCTGTCCCACTGGTTTATGTTTCTATTTTTATGAGAGTACCATACTATTTTGATTACTGTGACTTTGTAACATAGTTTGAAATCAGCAAGTGTGATGTTTCCAGCTTTGTTCTTTCTCAGGTTTGCTTTGGCTGTTCGGGGTCTTTTGTGGTTCCATACAAATTTTAGGATTGTTTTCTTCTATTTCTGTGAAAAAAGTCATTGGAATTTTCATAGGGATTTCATTAATCTATAGATAACTTTGGGTGATATGGGCATTTTAACAGTATTCTTCCAATCCTTGAACATAGAGTATCTTTTTACTTGTGTCTTCTTCAGTTTCTTTAATCAAAGTCTTGTAGTTTTCAGCGTAGAGATCTTCCACCTCCTTGGTTAAACGTATTCTAAGAGTTTTATTGCTTTGATGCTGTTGTATAGCTCTTTAGTTAGATTCCTGAACACCAGCACTCAGGACCAACCTGAAAGTGGCAGAACCATTGCCTTACATAATAAAACTCAATTTCTTTTTTCTTTTCTTTTTGTTTTTGGCTGCACTGCGTGGCTTATGGGAGCCTAGTTCGCCAACCAGGGATCAAACCCAGGCCCCGACATTGAAAATGCGGAGTCCTAACCACTGAACCGCCAGGGAATTCCCTGATCTCACTTACTTGGTACTTTTGCCTAGGAAGCAGAAAAACCACCCTTGCCATCGTACAAATTTGAAGTCCTTTGTTCCTCTAAAGCTGAATTCTTTGTTACTTTTAGATTAGGCTTACTTAGCAACAGTACTGAAAACAGTAGGTAAAACACGACGTCAGTTTTCTTTCCCACCTACCCAGTACCTTTCTGGACTTCTAAGAATCAAGTAATTTTGCAAATACCAACAGGAGCTACTTGGCAGGATTTGGAAAGTGGACTTCTGACCTTTGCAAGATAAGAGCACTAATGAACAAATAGAGCACTCGTGTTGCAAAGGATGTGGTTCTGGGTGCTGGAGAGGGGATGATGGACCCAGTGGTTTGGGGTGCTGGAGAAGGGGTGATGGACCCAAAGGTCTTTGTGTTCCAGAAGAACTGACTATGTGGTGCGGCCCAGCACGGGAGAGGAGAAGCGAGTTTTTCAGGAGCAGGTAAGAAAAAGCCGGAACCCGGTGTAAATCTCTGTATCTGTGAGGCCATGAGGTGAGAAGCTCTGAGCCTGACTGTCCTTGAGTCCAAATCTTGGAAGCAACTCACACCCTTAACCTTGCTATTCCGTGGGTTGGGATTGCTTTTGGGGGCAGAGCTGGTGTGAGGAAGGGAACGAAAAATGGTCAGGTGGTTTTTCTTCAGATACAAGACAACACATTTACCTCCTGATATGTTCGTTAGTGACTGGCGTTTGGGGACAATCCTTCTCCCGCTGTGGTCGGCTCAGTGTTGCTAGTGGAATAGCCTGTTTGCTTTTTGCTTTAATGTCTCCGGGCCGACCCCCTTCTGCACGGGGTGGCTAGAGAGAGCCCCTGTGACTGACTCAGGAGCCTCGTCCCTTCTTTTGGCAGGAGCGTTACCGGTACAGCCAGCCCCACAAGGCATTCACCTTCCGCATGCATGGCTTCGAGTCCGTGGTGGGGCCCGTGAAGGGCGTGTTCGACAAGGAGACGTCGCTCAACAAGGCACGGGAACACTCCCTGCTGCGCTCCGACCGTCCCGCCTACGTCACTATCCTGTCCCTGGGTGCGTGCCTCCGTCTGCTTCCCCCCCCCGCCCCGCCCCCATTGCAAAGGCTGGAGGGTCAGCGTAGCTTCAGGAAGCTTTGCAGTTTGGGATTTTTT